TGCTTTTTTATGGCACTTTAATATCTAAGTTTGATTCTAGCGGACTTCTACCTATCTCAAACACACAAAATGTTTCTTGCATATTTTGTTTCCCGAAGTTTGTGATGCGTTTATTGCAGATTTTGCGGTTTGTGGGGTACCAAGATAACAAGTCAAACAAAATGAGGACCCTGAGGCTGGAACATAGCAAAACCAATTTGCTTCAGGTTGACAGATAATACATGTATGTAGTAAAATAAAACATAAAAACAGCTGCATGAGTATTATTTTCTTGGTGAGACTCACTATTTATTATTATTATTATTATTATAGGATATTTATATAGCGCACATATCCACGCACTAGTGCATGCTCATGGCGCTGGTATTTTTTTTCCCTCGATGATTGGATGTCAATCTCAACGGCACATCGCATTATCAATCTCAACTCCCTGGGGAGTATACAACTCTTGCAGCAACTAGGCGCACCGAGTTATTGTGGCTTTCTCATCCTAACGAGGTACTTTTCATATGTCCGAAACATACCGATATAGAACAAAAGTAAAAGGATAAACCTGGTTTATGGACGTAATGAACGTACACAACAACAGGATTAGGTATTGAGGGGCGCTTGGCACCCTGACCAGTCCACAGTAACAGGATGGGGTCAATTTTTTATTTCATGAGGAGTCAGTATTGGAGCTTGTTCAGTACCTCTCGCATTCACAACAGCAAGGCAACGTTGTCTCATTGACTGCCTGACACCCGTGAACACAGCGTTAGGCAACCTGCGCCATTGCTGTACCAACATGGCGCCCAGTTCTTGAACATTCTGGGGTTGACGTCTCAAAGCACGAAGACATTCTAAGAGCATTAGACGATCACAATAGCCACTCAATGACGTCTATACCAGCATTTTGCAGGATATTTATCCTTCTGCCGACGCAGTTGTGCCCTGCGCAGAAGTTCATTAAGGTTGTTCTGTGTCAGAATCGGCCAAACACAGGGGCACGAATTCGAAGATGGGCAGCGCGCAAGCGGTTTCATTTGGTCTTGGCAGTTTAGCGACCCCAAAACAGTGCATTACTGGTTGACGTTGCGGTCGTAAAACGATAACGCAAATGAAGAAGCCAAGTTTGATTGTCCTCGGCATGTGACGTCACATGTGGCCATCCTGACCTGGGGCGATCAGATGTCGTACCCGTTTGATGCACATGTGATCCTCAGGTTGTGAATTGTCCGTCTACTGCATGGCATGGCACTTGCAACAGTCACAACTTAGACTGGCAAGCCTGGAGCATGTCAATTGCAGTTCACGTTCAACATCTCACAAGCACATGCTACGTTGTGGTTAGGCACAAGAGCATGTGGTCACGCGATCCCGCACACGTACAGCGTCGCGTTTTCACAAAAGGGCGTGCTGTATGCATTATGATATTAACTATATTACCATATACTCACCATTTTCAGTATACTTCATTTCTTTAAGAGTGGAGTTTCTTTTTTTGTTCAGGATATTACTATCTGATGCGAGATCTCTTCACTAACTTTTTGAAGAATAAATCTGCACCAGAAGTCAAATGTGTAATATCTCGTAGTGGGTGATGGGATAGCCTAGTGGTTAACGCGATCGCTGTTTACAAAGAAGACCCGGGTTCGAATCCCGATATCGGTACTACGTATGAAGCCCATTTCCGATGTCCCCAACCGCAAAGAATATTGCTAAACAGGCGCAAAATCATACTCGCTTACTTCATCCAGTAGAGGTACACACATACAAACTGATTTGAGCAAAGATATTTGTGCTAAGAATTTTTAATTTTGTGTAAAGGTCATGACCCTAATATGGGAGATTTAATTCCACAATGAAATGATACTCAATAAGGGCATTCTGTTTCTTCTTCAAGTCTTCACTGAATTTGTATCTATCCAAGTCTTCACTGCACCTCTATCTATCCAAGTCTTCACTGAATTTGTATCTATCCAAGTCTTCACTGCACCTCTATCTATCCAAGTCTTCACTGAATTTATATCTATTCAAGGCTTCACTGCACCTGTATCTATCAAAGTCTTCAATGCACCTGTATCTATCCAAGTCTTTACTGCACCTGTTTCTGTTCAAGTCTACACTGCCCCTATCTATCCAAGTCTTCACTGCACTTGTACCTATCCAAGTCTTCACTGAATCTGTATCTATTCAAGTCTACACTGCACCTGTATCTATCCAAGTCTTCACTGCATCTGTATCGATCCAAGTCTTCACTGCACCTCTATCTATCCAAGTCTTCACTGAATTTGTATCTATTCAAGGCTTCACTGCGCATCTATCTATCCAAGTTTTCGCTGCATCTGTATCAATCCAAGTCTTCAATGGACCTCTATCTATCCAAGTCTTCACTGCATCTGTATCTATCCAAGTCTTCACTGTACCTCTATCTATCCAAGTCTTCACTGCATCTGTATCTATCCAAGTCTTCACTGCCTCTATCTATCAAGTCTTCACTGCACCTGTATCTATCCAAGTCTTCACTGAATTTGTATCTACTCAAGTCTTCACTGCGCCTCTATCTAGCCAAGTCTTCACTGTACCTGTATCTATCCAAGTCTTCACTGCCTCTATCTATCCAAGTCTTCACTGAATCTGTATCTATTCAAGTCTACACTGCATCTGTATCTATCCAAGTCTTCACTGCATTTGTATCTATCCAAGTCTTCACTGCATTTGTATCTATCCAAGTCTTCACTGCCTCTATCTATCCAAGTCTTCACTGCATCTGTATCTATCCAAGTCTTCACTGCATCTGTATCAATCGAAGTCTTCAATGGACCTCTATCTATCCAAGTCTTCACTGCATCTGTATCTATTCAAGTCTTCACTGCACCTCTATCTATACAAGTCTTCACTGCATCTGTATCTATCCAAGTCTTCACTGCACCTGTATCTATCCAAGTCTTCACTGCATTTGTATCTACTCAAGTCTTCACTTCGCCTCTATCTAGCCAAGTCTTCACTGCACCTGTATCTAGCCAAGTCTTCACTGCACCTGTATCTATCCAAGTCTTCACTGCACCTGTATCTATCCAAGTCTTCACTGAATTTGTATCTACTCAAGTCTTCACTTGGCCTCTATCTAGCCAAGTCTTCACTGCACCTGTATCTATCCAAGTCTTCACTGCACCTGTATCTAGTCAAGTCTTCACTGAATTTGTATCTACTCAAGTCTTCACTGCGCCTGTATCTATCCAAGTCTTCACTGCACCTGTATCTATCCAAGTCTTCACTGCACCTGTATCTATCCAAGTCTTCACTGCATCTGTATCTACTCAAGACTTCACTGCGCCTCTTTATAGCCAAGTCTTCACTGCACCTGTATCTAGCCAAATCTTCACTGCACCTGTATCTATCCAAGTCTTCACTGTACCTCTATCTAGCCAGGTCTTCTCTGCATCTGTATCTATCCAAGTCTTCACTGTACCTGTATCTATCCAAGTCTTCACTGCATCTGCATCTACTCAAGTCTTCACTGCCTCTATCTATCCAAGTCTTCACTGCACCTGTATCTATCCAAGTCTTTACTGAATTTGTATCTATTCAGATCTTCACTGCACCTTTATCTATCCAAGTCTTCACTGAATCTGTATCTATTCAAGTCCACACTGCACCTGTATCTATCCAAGTCTTCACTGCACCTCTATCTATCCAAGTCTTCACTGCACCTGTATCTATCCAAGTCTTTACTGAATTTGTATCTATCCAAGTCTTCACTGCATCTGTATCTATCCAAGTCTCCACTGCACCTGTATCTATCCAAGTCTTCACTGCACCTGTATCTATCCAAGTCTTCACTGCATCTGTATCTATTCAAATCTTCACTGCACTTGTATCTATCCAAGTCTTCACTGCACCTCTATCTATCCAAGTCTTCACTGCATCTGTATCTATTCAAATCTTCACTGCACTTGTATCTATCCAAGTCTTCACTGCACCTGTATCTATCCAAGTCTTCACTGCATCTGTATCTATTCAAGTCTTCACTGCACTTGTATCTATCCAAGTCTTCACTGCACCTGTATCTATCCAAGTCTTCACTGCACCTGTATCTATCCAAGTCTTCACTGAATTTGTATCTACAAGTCTGCGCCTCTACTGCACCTGTATCTATCCAAGTCTTCACTGCACCTGTATCTATCAAGTCTTCACTATGTATCTACTCAAGTCTTCACTGCACCTCTATCTAGCCAAGTCTTCACTGCACCTGTATCTACTGAATTTGTATCTATCCAAGTCTTCACTGCATCTGTATCTATCCAAGTCTCCACTGCACCTGTATCTATCTGCATCTTCACTGCACCTGTATCTATCCAAGTCTTCACTGCATCTGTATCTATTCAAATCAAGTCTTCACTGCACCTGTATCTATCCAAGTCTTCTGAATTTGTATCAGATCTTCACTCTTTATCTATCCAAGTCTTCACTGCATCTGTATCTATTCAAATCTTCACTGCACTTGTATCTATCCAAGTCTTCACTGCACCTGTATCTATCCAAGTCTTCACTGCACCTGTATCTATCCAAATCTTCACTGCACCTGTATCTATCCAAGTCTTCACTGCATCTGTATCTATTCAAATCTTCACTGCATCTCTATCCAAGTCTTCACTGCACCTGTATCTATCCAAGTCTTCACTGCACCTGCATCTATCCAAATCTTCACTGCATCTGCATCTATTGAAGTCTTCACTGCATCTGTATCTGTCCACGTTTTACTACACCTGTATCTGCATGAGTATTCACTGCATCTGTGTATATATATACGAGTCATCATTGCATCTGGTTAAACCATATATACTCATGCCAATAATGGTTGTCACCACCCTCCCCACCCCAACCTCCCACACACACACACACCCTCTCCAATTAAAAAAATTGAAGGGGGTGACAACCATTATTGGCATGAGTATATGTGTAGCTTGACCCAGCGATAACTTACAGTTAGACATGCAAAAGCGCATACAACCTACCTTTGCACGAAGGCAACTTAAAGTGAGCTTTGCATCCCGATAAACAATGTCCAGTTTTGTTGTTACAGGTTCCGCTATAACACTGACCACAAGGCTGACAGCCTGGACCATAGCAATCTGAAATATATAACGATCCGAATTAACTTTATGCTTGCAAGAAATACAAGGGGAATGTTAGATGTTCGAGAGAGATTGACGCGTATAAGGTATGGAGGTTTCATTTACAAACCGGCGACCGAGAGATACTTTACCACTCTAGAAGTATAATCACAAGGACTTAAAGCACATCTTGAAACTAAATCAATACAAGACACATTGTCCAAACACAACAATGCTGTATGCAGAAAGTTTGGTTTTGGAGAAAATGCGACAAAGTGAAAAGATGCATTGCCGCATTGCTAGAGTGACTTCTGGTTTAATGGACATTAATAAAGCGCCTGTTTCAACACACTTGTACATACTCAAAGCGCTGATACATTATTACCCCGGATAATCCAAAGAAGGTTATAGCCACATAACTTATCCCACCGGGTACCCATTTTCTACTGGGTGAACAGAGGCGGTTTTGAACAAACTCACTTGCCCAAGGCGAGACCACATGTATCACATGTGCTTTGTTGTGGGGCAGGACTGGAGTCCTAGAAAAACTCAGGAGTCAAACGGCCACACACCGTCACCCATCCAAGAATTCTCCGCGCCCAACGTTGCTTAACTTCAACTGATTTTGTGACCTGAGCTCTATGCACAGGACCATAAACCACAACAAGAAGTAATTTCAGCAGTTTTAGACGTGTGTGCCCATTGTCCATTACGCTGAGAGCTTTTTTTTCTGCCCTTCCTCATTTCGGACATTTGGGGGGCGGTGGGTAGCCTAGTGGTTAAAGCATTGGCTGGTCACGCCGAAGACCCGGGTTCGAATCCCCACATTGGCACAATGTGTGAAGCCCATTTCTGGTGTCCCCCGCCGTGATGTTGCTGGAATATTGGTAAAAGCGGCGTAAAACCAAACTCGGATATTTGGCATTCGTTGCGATGTTGATCTTTGAAATACAATTTACCTTTGCATTTTTGGACTGAATGTATAAAGCTATAACTCCCACGAGAGTTGAATATCTGCCTCAGAGAAAGACACACGACGAGGGAGGAAATATGCTGTCTGCTGTTATCATCTCGGACCATGTAGGTCACATCCGGTCTGTCGACGACTCAACAATACAGGACACTTAGAAACCAGCATCCTTGTCTCAAACCCAGCGCTATGTGAGTCGGTTTATGAACAGTATGTCAGTAATATCTCTACCGGGGTTAAGTGGTAAAAGCGTCGTTCGCTCGTCGCGCTAGAAGTACGGGCTTTGTTTGTGGGTGTAATGTACGAATCCCTTTTCTGGTGTCCCCCGGGATTGCTGGAATATTGCTAAAAGCGGTGTAAAACATCACTCACTCACTCACTCGATACACTTCAACTTCAACAACCTTGGGGTGCTGCTTCTCCCATTTGGGAGGTACATCTGGCTCGCCGTCTCAGCCCTCACTGGGGTGAGTGGGTGAGTTTTACGCCGCTTTTAGCAATATTCCAGCAGTGTCACGGTAGGGTCACCAGAAATGGGCTTCACACATTGTACCCATGTAGTGAACCGAACCTGGGCCTTCGGCCTGGCGAGCGAACACTTAAAGCACTGGGTTAGTCCTAGCATCATTCGTGAATTCCTAAACCAGGAAATACAAGACACTACCCTGCAACACTGAACTTGAGTAAACAATAGAACTGTATCAAGTGAGTGAGTATGAGTGAGTGAGTGAGTGGGTACTGTGTAGTAGCTATTCGATTCAAGTCATGTTTTTTGTTCTACAGTATATTAAACACAATAACAATGATGTTAACAATCACTAAAAATGATATCCGTCAAATATCACATGCAAGGGTAAAAGTGAGTGAGTTGAGTTTTACGCCGCACTCAGCAATATTCCAGCTATATGGCGGCGGTCTGTAAATAATCGAGTCTGGACCGGACAATCCAGTGATCAACAGCATGACCATCGATCGCCGCAACTGGGAACCGATGACAAATGTCAACCAAGCCAGCGAGCCTGACCACCCGATCCCGGCCGTTAGTCGCCTCTTACGACAAGCATGGGTTGCTGAAGATTCATTCTAACTGAGATGCAAACTACTAGATTATATTCTGCAGTTTGATTTCTTTTAAATATGCTACAATTAACTAGTAACAAACTGTTCTAAAACGATCGGATAAGACAGGAACATCATAATGAAAAAGATTCCTGATGTGTGCAAAACCAACACATTGAAGCCAATATAATTGCAACTGGTCTACGCCATGGGACGCATAGGGGTGGATCGTCTCCTTCCAATGAAGGGGCGTTGGGGTAGCCCTGGGGTTAAAGCGTTCGCCCGTCACGCCGAAGGTCCGGGTTCGATTTCTGGTGTCCCCTGCCGTGATATTACTGGAATATTGCTAAAGCGGCGAAAAAATCCCACTCACTCACTCACTCACACTCACACACTCACTGCCACATGGATATATTTTACTTCCTATCATCAAAGGGCTGACAACAGTGAAAATGACAGCTGTAATCGATAACATGAAATTCAGGTTCACCAATATTTACATCATAAAGTCTGTGAAATAATTTCACATCATGAATCATCTCGAACCATGCGTGACTCTGTTACTTCGATTTATCCGGACATTCGAGGTTGCGAGACATGAACATCAACGCAAAAGCTAGCGGTATTTTGTATCATTGAACAGACGGGAACGGAGATTTAACAACTTCCTGGTCATCCTTGAAATGTATCCGACAGCCATTATGAAATATATTCATGCACTAGAGCCATCGTACATAGTGACGCATGACATGAAAAGAACAAGTCTAGTATATCACTAACCTTCCCCAGAACACCCGGCGATGAAGATCGCCAACAGCAAACACGAAGCGACGAAGGAGAACATGGAGTTTGTATTCCTGTGTTCTCGTGCACGCGTCGTCCACACTCAGACCTGGTTATGAAATACTCAACCCGGAACGGGAACCCGTTGAGTCAGCAAGTGGTTGCCGATTGGTCATGAGCATTTCTAGGAAAAGATGAATATTTATGTAGCACATCCTTTGTGAAGTTTAGTTGGGTGGTGTTCCATTTTGTTTTATCTCTCACTTGCCATTCGTAGGAGTGACCTGTTGACTGTAGGGCGTTTTCAGAAAGATGCGGAAACTATTCCACGTTGAAAAATAATATACCGTTAAAAAAATGTAGAGGATATTCCATTTTGCGAGCCTACCACTAGCCAATGCCAATACATATGAGAAAAAGTAATATAAACTCTGTCAAAAAAGAAACGCAACCCCTGTCCTCAGATATGAAAAATTCGTTTGAATGAAGTTATTGCTTCCAAACTAAATTTTATTCGAATGAAAGCCCATGTGGTTCCGTATTATATTCATTCATTTGTCGCCGAAAAGCTGTGTTAAAAATGCCACGATTGAGTGCTGCCGACCGAAATATCGCCATTGGTCGTGTTCAAGCCGGAGAAAGTTTTGGAACTGTTGCACGGCACCTAAATGTTCACAAAACAACGATATCCCGACTTTGGAGCCGCTACAACAACTTCAATTTGACCAACGATCGCCCGAGAAGTGGAAGGCCAGAATCACGACCCCCTTCAAGATCGGTACATCCGGGTCCATCACCTGCGTAATCGGCATGCCCTACCAACCGTGACTGCCACACAAATACCAGGTTTGAGGAGAGTGTCAGCTCAAACGATTAGGAACCGTCTGAAAGAAGCGGGTTTACGTGCCTGTAGACCAGTTGTTGGACCTGTACTACGCCCCCTACATCGACGCCGACGACTCAGGTGGTGCAACAACGTAAGGATACGGACTTTACAAAACTGGAGGCGCATCTGGTTTTCTGATGAATCACGTTTTCTTTTGCAACGTCACGACGGAAGACAGCGTCTGTATAGGAGACGTCATAAACGTTTGCGCCCATCTGCGTCCGACAGGTGGACAGATTTGGCGGAGAAAGCGTCATGGTTTGGGGAACCATCTCATACAACCAGAAATCAGACTTGGTGATCGTTCCAGGGAACCTGACAGCCCAACGTTACATCAACCACGTGTTAGAGCTTCACCTTCTCCCGATTATTGACCAACAGACACAGATTTTCAACGGGACAACGCCCGGCCTCATACTGCACGTGCACCAATGAACTTTCTGCAGAATTCCAACGTCAATGTCTTGCCACTGACCCTCTAAATCACCAGACCTCAACCCTATTGAACACCTGTGGGATACTCTGGATCGACGCGTACGTCAACGTCAGCCGCCGCCACAGACGCTGCAACAGCTCGCCGTTGCACTGCAGGAAGGAGTGGAGAGCCATTCCCCAGGAAAGAATCCGGCGTCTTATCCGTATATCCATAGAGATGAAACATTTCCAAAGGAAAGGAATAAATTGTCACATTTTCCCTTAATTTCTCTTCACCATCTCTTTCCTCATTGGCTTCACCCTTTGCATTTTTCAATCTTGTAAATCCAATATCCCCTACTTTTTTTAATGGTATATAATAGCTAATAATATGATACTAGCATCCACCCTTTTGTACATCAATTAGACTCGTTGGCTTCTATCACTTACCCACTTACTCTGCTGTAACAACACCATATCTGCTTCTGTATATTTAATTCTCTTTCATCTCACAATCCCCTGTTTATTATATATACATGATTAAAATCACCCTTGTTTCATGTACATTAACCCGTGAAAGTTCGGGTTAGAATTGATCTTCAGTAACCCATGCTTGTCGTAAGAGGCGACTAACGGGATCGGGTGGTCAGGCTCGCTGACTGGGTTGACACATGTCATCGGTTCCCAATTGCGTAGATCGATGTTCATTGGATTGTCTGGTCCAGACACGATTATTTACAGACCGCCGCCATATAGCTGGAATATTGCTGAGTGCGGCGTAAAACTAAACTCACTCACTGAGGGACATTACTGTATATCAGTTAGTTAGCATTCACTTGAAGAAGGGGCAAGGAAAAGACCAGACACTTTGTGTATACAATAAAGAAGAAGTTGACATCCATAATATTTTGCCTTATACTTAATGTAACAGCGTCTTGAACACTATATCCCATACTGAACGATGCTGCGACTACTAGCTGTAGACAATTTTCGAAATGTGTGTAGTAGATATAAGTGCTATATAATTTCATTTATTTTAAAGTATGTTTCATCTCTTGTACATATCACTACGGATATTGAATAAATCAACCTTGGAAAGCCTGATGCGGGTTGTCCTCACTTCTCCTTGTATTGGTATATCAGTAGTTAGCGAAGGTTGGATTGTTGTTTGTTGTTTGTTGTTTGTTGTTTAACGCCGCTAATATTCGATTCTGGGCCAGACAATTTAGTGATCAACATCATGAGCATTAATTTACGCCATTGGGAAACGATGACATGATTGTGTCAACCAAGTCAGCGAGCCTGACCATCAGATCCCGTTAGTCCTCTCTTACGACAAGCATGGGTTGTTGAAGATCAATTCTCGACCGGATCTTCACGGGTCATAAGATTTGATCTCGTCTCCTCAGAATTATATATGTGTTTATGAAGAGTTTGTTTTGGTGAATGGTAGAGATGACATCCAAATCAGCAATATTTCTTTAAATATTACATGTGTCTAAATTTTGGAGTGTTAAACCACTTGCCTCCCACCCGAACCCGTCTCTGACCCTGACTTTGCCCTTGACCTTGACCCTGACCCTGACCTTGACCTTGACACTGACTCTGACTCTGACTCTGCTATCCCTGGGTTCTCCTACTGATGAAGAGGAGATGACCAGTGATGCAAAGACAACGTGATGATAAATAGAGAATTAAGTCTATGTCAAAGATGCTTGGAAATACGTTTTCACATGTCAAGCGAACATGTATTCACTGAAATGCCAAATCCAGCTAAGTGTTCAAAAACCAGGAACACTCGCTCAAACTCAACCTTAGCAAGCACGCCCCATGCGCGTGCAGAATGTGCTCACTTGACGTGACTCAGTGTTTGTCCGGTCGAGATGAGGGTTGGAGGTTGTGGGAAGTCGGTCGTCGCCTGTATGGTAAGCGCGAATCAGCTACTCTCACCAGCAACTAGGATGCTATTCTTACTTCCGCATTTAGGCAAATATCTTCTAATCAGCGGAAAGATGGACAGGACAGTTTGTAACTGACATGCTCAGACCGTAAATCCCCGTATCGAAGTGCCTCTATGTATTCGTATTTTTTGCGAATAAACTTTTCAGCTTTTGAAGCTGTGGTGCTAAAGCGTTCGCTCGTCGCGCCGAATACCCGGATTCGATTCCCCACAATGAAACCCATTTCTGGTGTCCCCCGTCGTGATATTGCTGGAATATTGCTAATATCGGCGTAAAACCAAATTCACTCACCTTTGAAGCTGCTTACGTTATACTCAGCATTTGATTTTTAGACACGATAACCCCAATGTACATTTTCGCCATTCCAACTTTGATACAGAGCTTTTACAGGCTTAAACTGTAGCAATGTGGTGCCGATGAATGAATGGTGGTTGTATTGTGAAAACGAAGGCCTTATATACTGTTTTATACCTAGCTTAATGTTACAGGTACGTAATGTTGTTGAACCATAGTTGGATTTGTGTTATCAGCCGAGCATGGCAACACTCGTGACATTATTTTTATTCACTTTTGTGCCATGCCTAAGCACCAACATTGATGAGACATCTGACAAAAGGCGCTGAAATCTGTGTGAATGATTTTAGTTTTACGCCGCACTCTGCAATATTCCAGCTATATGGCGGCGGTCTGTAAAGAAGTCTGGGCCAGACAATCCAGTGATCATCACCATGAGCATAGATCTACGCACCTGGAATACGATGACATGAGTCGACCAAGACCACCTAATCCCGTTATATTGCCTCTTACAAGCATGGGCTACTGAAGACCAATTGTAGCCTTAATCTTCACGAGTCCACCGTTTTATGGTTGAGCATAGGCTTTACAAAACTGTCCACAAATATGTTAAAGGAGTGATTTTATTTTCAGATTGCCCTGATCTCCATTTTGCTTGCACTGGCTTCTGGTCAGACGGTAAGTGAGTGACCAAGGGTTTTGAAATAAACGGGAACTGGGCTTTATACATGGTGGGACTCGAACCTAGCCAATCTGTTCTCATCGGACACTTTAACCACTCGACTACAATAGAACCGCTAAATGGTAATTACAGCGATACCTCACCAATGTAAATATAGTGATTATGCTGAATTGATTGTTTAACGCCGCACTCGGCAATATTCCAGCTATATGGCGGTGGTCTGTAAATAATGGAGTCTGGATAAGACAATCCAGTGATCAACAGCATGAGCATCGATCTACGCATGACATGTCAAGCAAGTCGCCGAGCCTAACCCCCGATTCCGTTTGTCGTCGTTTAGGACAAGCATGGGTTGCTGAAATTCTAACCCGGATTTTCATGGGTGATGATGTTGAATTGTCTAATATAATGAACAACAAAAGAAACGCAGGACTGGCTTTTTGTCAAGTTTTTAAATAGACAACCAAATTATGTCTTATTAGTAGGGCGGATAACAGACCAAAATAGGCCGAATCGTTCACTTTGTGATACAAGCACCAAATTTGGCATGATCGCTCACCATGGGCCCCCTGTTCAGAAAACAACGTTGGCCAATCAAACATCCAAGATGGCCGCCACTGGCTATACAGAAATATAATCGTTTTCTTTTAACTATCATTTTTGGCAGATGTTTTTCATCCAGATGTCTAATTCCACTTTAGTTTAGCTTGCAGAACCATGTTTTAATGGAAAAAAAAGACAAATAATAAAATTATATGGGTGGTTTTATCTAAATAAAGCAAGATCAAAGTACGATTTTGTTAAAAAAAAAAATTGTAACTCGTGTGTATATTAAATGTTCGTGGTCCCTAAAGGACAAAGATTCATCTAAAAGAAAACAGCTTTGGCCACTCAACATTTTCCAAGATGGCTGCGTGTGATCACACAAGATTTTTGGTTTCCTTGAGATTTTCTGTGCAGGCTTTCATCACTGATATTTATACCTAAAGGAAATTGGTGAAAATATTGCAGTAATATGATAATTATTCAAACATGAAAACACTGCAGTAATATAATACATATTTAGATAATATAATAAATATATCAAGATTTATATTTAATATTCATGTTTATCTCTTGTCCGTATTACTGTTAACAATTCTTACACAAAGGTAAAGAACATATGAGGTTTTTGTGATTATCTTTATCTAAATTAAATTTACAAATGTTTCCTTCGTTATTCAATGACAAAACGGCATACTGTAATACTATAAATTGTATGACAAAACGGCATGCTGTAATATTATCAATTGTATAATAAAGAAAATATAATTCCTGACTATGCAAACTAATTTTGGGAATCAGAATCATGACATATATGTTTAGGGACTTATAATGTAGAAAATAGGATTGACAAGTCCCCAATATATCACAATACGTATGGCAATATGGGTACCTGAATCGCAATATACTGCATTACAATTCTTTTGCCAACACACAGCCCAAATGGCGAACATTCCCTCAAACCATTTCGGAGTTTGAATCTATTGCCATTGAAAACATATCGCCAAAACGCAACCGAATTTTTCTCTCAGCAAAGGTAATAAAAAAATGTGACGCGATTCATACACATCCCTTTGCACGCGCAATCCGTGGAACATTTACAATAGAAACCGGGGGTCTGATTGTTTCAGCGGCAGTTGACAAACGTAAATCTTGAGGTGAAGGCATGCTTAGACTTACCGAGGTTCAGCACAATAACGCGATCGGTCATTTGGAAGCTGGCGAGTCGTAGTCAACGGTTGCAAGGCACTTTTATGTGTTCAAGAGTACCATAGGAAAGCTTTGGCATCCGCCTCAGCTGCATGGAACGACACGTCATCGTCCTCGGTCAGGATGATCGCAAGTAACCACATCCGTCCAGGACAAGTTTATTCGTTTTCGACACATACGGAACAGGTTGACGCTCGTATCCTCTACAACATCTGCAGTGCCAGGACTCCGAACAATGTCGGACCAAACTGTCAGGAACTGCCTCCGTTTGGCTGATATTCGTCCTAGGAGACCTTTGCGAGGACCTATCCTTACACATCATCGGCGACAACGTAGACAGTGGTGTCGAAACCATCTCCAGTGACCATTATAAAGTGAAGAACTGTCGTGTTCAGTGATGAGTCGTGGGTTGGTATATGCTCAGCCTGACGGAAGAGCATGTGTGTACAGGTGGCGTCATGAACGGTGTGCTCCCAATTGTGTACAGGAAGTGGACAGATTCAGTGGTGAGTGTTATGGTTTGGGCAGGCAGTGGAAGACCCGATGTTATTCACGTCCAAAGCAATCTTACGACTCGACAATACTGTTCCATAAAATCATCAGGCCTCATGTCATTCCATTCATGAACTCTAAGAACGTCATTTTCCAACATGACAATGCTCAGCCGCATACAGCAAGATTCAGCACAGCGTTCAGGTTCTTGCATGACCCTCCGATCACCAGATCTGAACCCAGTTGAACGTTTGTGGAACGAACTGAATCGACGTATGAGACAGTGTGATCCTCAGCTGCAGACCTTAGCTGCTTTGTTTCTGGTTTTGCACGAAGAATATCAGGTCATTCCTTGACAGTTCATCCGGAATCTGATCCAATCTGTTGGACGCCAATGCCAGGCAACCAACATGCTGATGGCGTTCACATAAGATATTGACTGCACTGTGACTTTGACCTTTCTGCACATTTGTTACGTCCCACCTCTACCTCCACTGGACAATACATGTTCAACAGTGTTTTCTCTATCACTGTCCTGTTCCACTTAACCTTACATGCATAAATATATGACTATTTTCACCTATGCGTTTCTTTTTTGAGTAGTATAGATTCAAATTAGATAACATTGGACCCAAACAAACTTTGTTTTGTTTTTTATATATTTCCATAGTTATCAAACTTGATGTAAGTAAATAAATGGTATAAACAATGTTTTCCGAAAATATATTGAAACATTTATCTCATCTCCTGGTAAGTAAAATTGTTGACCTATGTTAAAATCAGATGTCAGTAAACGAAAACAAATTGCGTTATACAAACTCTAAGAAACATGTGATGAAATTTAAAGTACGTCATAGCTGCATCAAGCATAGCCTTTTCCAAAGTCATCCGCTTAAACCTTCCTGAAAAGTGAGAAGCGTAAGTTGCAAAGCCCTCACTTCCACTTTCTTAATCTGGCACTGGACATGGAACTCTTGATCCTTGCGCTGATCAGATGATTTAGAGAGGCAGTTATAAATGAAACTGAGCCAGGTAAAGTTACAATATAGGTGATTTTAATGTCTATACTACCTTACAATAAATTGGTTCTTTGGAAAGCTATAAAACTATCATTGAACATTCATTGTCTTCTAAATCATGTTCTTGTATTAAGTGATCATGATCTGATAATCAAAGTTGTGGAATGAAAAATAGCGCCTATCTTAAGTTGGTATAATTTTGCCTTTGAAATACTATCTCTCTTCCCTTGGTGTAACCAACCTTATTGTTTGGTCAACATGAATACCATCAACCATATCTGAGACAAAAAGGTCGAAACCTGGTTGAAAATTGTCGTATTTTGCCTAATTTGACATTTGTTTTTTAATATAATGTGGCGGCCATCTTGGATTTCCTTCGGCAAAATGAATGTTTTCTAGCCTATTACATCATCCAATCTAGAGATGTTATGATGAAAGTCAAATATGGAGACTACTTTTGGTTCTGTCTTGTTTTGAGTTCAAAATGCAAGAAATATTTTTAAAACTTTGCTCTTTTTGGAAAACTGCCGCCATCTTGGATTTTGGAAGCAATCATATTTTGCTACATAGTCTAAACAATATCTTAATGAACACATTGACACACAAATACGTTGAAAATCTCAGAAATTCTGATTTTATGAGCTGAAACAAAGATAGTGTAATATAAATGGCGGCCATCTGGAAAAATGGCGGCCATCTTGGAATTTTGAGTGGCCAACGTTATTTTTTCAGTAAGTGTACCAAAGTGAATGTATGCAAATTGTTGCTTGTATCACAAAGTGAACGATTTTACATTATCTACCCTACTATATGTATTCTATAGAATAACATGAATACGCCGAGCAGAGTTGCGTCCCTTGGCACGTCTGGAACCAAAGATTGCGGTTTCGAGGCCCGATTCGGGCAAACGGGGGCTCCTATTGCTTAAAATATGTCCTACGTCCTAGGTCCAACACTCGTTTACTGATAGTAAACATATATGTATATGTCGATGGCTAACAGTGACCCGAGTGTTGGACCTTGGACGTATTATTTTCAGCAATACAAGCTCAGCTTGTTCGCGCCGCTTGTATCGTCTTCAGTTCTATACTACTAGTACGTTCGAGGGTTTCACGAAGATGGTGAACGACTGTGATCATATTTACTTCATTACGTAATATCCATTTTAATACCAGCTGAAGATGAAAAATAGCGGTGATTTGTCTAACAGTTTCGTTGGGTTAAGGTCTGCCAGGCGTTGAAGTGTAGGACATGACGTAATAATATGCGGTGCTTGGCTGATGCAACGTACCGTATTTAACATGCTATAACTTTCCTTGGTGAAAGTGTTCTAAATGTAATAATGTTTAACCTAAGTCAAAATATTGATGAAATATTGTCTACTTTAAACCTTCATTCACCCACTCAACTTTCTATTGTAAAAAAAATAGAAATTGATTCTTATACACTATAATACGGAAGCGTAGTAGGGCCACGGTGAACATTTTTTGGGGGGGTCACTATCTCCTACGTAGGAGGGGCGGTGGGGTAGCCTAGTGGTTAAAGCGTTGGCTCTCGTCACGCCGAGGACCCGGGTTCGAATCCCTACATGGGTACAATGTGTGAAGCCCATTTCTGGTGTTCCCCCGCCGTGATGTGGCTGGAATATTGCTAAAAGCGGCGTAAAACCAAACTCAGTCAGTCAGTCAGTCCTACGTAGGACTTAGTATCTCCTACGTAGGACTTAGTATCTCCTACGTAGGACTTAGTATCTCCTACGTAGGACTTGATATCTCCTACGTAGGACTTGATATCTCCTACGTAGGACTTGATATCTCCTACGTAGGACTTGATATCTCCTACGTAGGACTTAATATCTCCTACTTAATATCTCCTACGTAGGACTTAATATCTCCTACGTAGGACTTAATATATCCTTTTTAAGGATGGTTATTAAGTTGAGAAATGTTTGGCAGGACGTTGGATAGTCGAAATGTGAGTCATTGAATATTCATGACACTAACGCAGTGTTACTGTACAGTGTTATTGTGTGTGCATTACGTTAGGGTGACGTGGACCCTGTTCTAATTGCAATTATGGAGGTTTGGGTATGGTTATGTTTAATCTATCATGCATACATCTATTCACACACAAAAACACACACACACACACACACACACAGAGGTGGGTGGGATGGTTGGGGTGAGGTTGTGATATGAAACTCGGGTTATAACACGACCTCCGCAAGTTGTGCTTGTCTTGATGGGGCTAGGTTGGATCGGATGCAACGCTCGTTTGCGGTTTTATTCGTAATTGTTTACAGGTTGACTTGACTGGGGTGGCCAAGTGTTGAGTGCGGCGTAAAACATTACGAAATTCAAAAAGGCAAAGAATTGTCATTAGTTATTTGTATAAATATAAGGGGATACGTACACATAGATTGCCACCTATAGTCTAAGACACGTCTGTACACGCAGATTATGATTCATGTGCAACGACCTCTGAAATATCCAATGCATAATAGTAAAGTGTAACAAAGTGCAACATACAACAGTGAACTAACTGCAACGCGTAATAGTAGAGCAAACTGAACGCAAGGCAGTAAAGTATAACAGTCGGTCCAACACAGTACTAATGTGCAACAATTAGTTGAACACATGACTCTAATAGTGAAGGAAACAGTAGACGCTAATAGTAAATTGAAACACATGATAGTAGACTCTAACAGTAAATGAAACACATAACTGTAGACTCTAATAGTGAATGAAACGAATGACGGTAGATTCTTACAGTGATTGAAACAGTGAAACAGGATCAATGCATAATAGTGTGCGTGTCTGAACTAACTTAATAGTAGAGTCGACCGTTTCAGATTAATCCATATGAAGGAAACATTCGGTAACGTATATCGATCATCTGAAACAGGAGATTGTGTGCGTGTCTGGGGCTTTAAGTCGACCGTTTCAGATTAATCCATATAAACGTATATCGATCATCTCCTACAGGAAATATTAAGTACTACGAAGGAGATACTAAGTCCTAAGTACGAGATACCCACTTAGGAGATAGTAAGTCCTACGTAGGAGATAGTAAGTCCTACGTAGGAGATAGTAAGTCCTACGTAGGAGATAGTAAGTCCTACGTAGGAGATAGTAAGTCCTACGTAGGAGATAGTAAGTCCTACGTAGGAGATAGTAAGTACTACGTAGGAGATAGTAAGACCAAAAACATTTTTCACCGTGGCCCTACTACGCTTCCGTACTATAAGAAGCCAATGACCTCGTCTGATTAAAGTTATGTTTATAGGTTCTTAAAACATGATATTTTGGTATGTCAGGTTATGAAAAACACTGAAGAAACGAGCAGCTTAAATGTTTAAACACGGACATTGTGGGAGTCACGTGATGCACGTGAAGGGTGCCCAAGTTGATAGACGTTTACGTATATTTCTCTTCCACACTTTGAATTATATTAATAAGTATCAACCCGCACGTGCTCACAATGATGAAAACATGTAAAGAAGCAGATATTTGTCGTTTACCGCATTTGTGAAAATCACAAGCACGATTGTGCTGCTGTAGAACTGTAAGAACTTGCCGGAATTCAAACTCGTGATTACTGTTTCCCGCCACGTCTAAGGGACGCAACTCTAGACCTTAACATGATATGAACTCGCACTTTGCCACAAGTATTGATACTGAGACTTAAATTTCAAACCCAATTGTTTCTAGGGATTGTTCATAACGTATATTTAACGCCAGATACTTGCATGCCATGATGTATAATAGCTTCATTTGTTTCCAGACTGTCAAACCAACAGCAAAACCACTGCGAAGGGTTGTGAAAGGTAATACTGAGTGCTGGTTCAGTGTGCTTTCTGATTAGGGTATTGTTTGGTTTTGTCGTGACAGATGGCGAAGGCGGCTGCCACGTTGTTGTTTTACTGTCTGATCAAAAAATGATTGACAACATCTCGCATGGTGTTCTGCTCCAGGTGGTAGCCCAAACGTGATATTATAGTCTGTGTATGTCCAACCTGTCCGCTGGCTGCAGGGACTACCCAAAACAAATTGAAATAGTACCCGCTGACGTTGTTTTTTTGTCTGCTTTTTTTACGACGGCAAGAGCGGGTTTTTTTTCAAGTATTATCGGGACTACTTACTTTATAAAATTTTCATACACACTCACTCACTCACGGGGACGGTGGGTAGCTTAGTGGTTAAAGCGTTCGCTCGTCACGCCGAAGACCCGGGTTCAGTTCCCCCACATGGGCACAATGTGTGAAGCCCATTTCTGCTGTACCCCGCCGTGATATTGCTGGAATATTGCTAGAAGCGGCGTAAAACTAAACTCACACACTCACACAAGGGAGAGAATAGCAAATGCACGATCGGTTAATCTCCTCCCATGGTTTGCAAGTATAGAACTGATTGACATTCCTCAAGAAAATGTTTTATCATCCACATGGGTTCCAATAAGCTTGCATCCATTGTGGCCTCCATCCAACGAGATGACGACAGGTCACCGTGAACTTTGCTTATTAATTGTTCATTCATTTTTAATTCCATTGTGAAATGATACAATGTTCTCTACCTACACCCTCGAGAATGCCTTGTCAATTTGAAATTCATGCATGCTTTGACCTGGTAAAATAGGTCTTCAGTAACCCACGCGTGTAAGAGTCGACTAACGGGATCGGGTGGTCAGGCTCGCTCACTTGGTTGACACATCGTATCCCAACTGCGTAGATCGATGGTCATGCTGTTGATCACTGGATTGTCTAGTCCAGACTCGATTATTTACAAACAGCCGCCATATAGCTGGAATATTGCTGAGTGGGGCGTAAAACTAAATTCACTCACTCACTCACTTGTGCGTGACTTGGAGTTTTATCTTATATTTTAATAATCTGTTTTAGTTAAGTCAGAGTGCAGCGTAGGGAGAACTGGGCTTTCTACCATCAACGTCCTGTCTGACTTCCCTGTCAATGTCGAGGTATTCTGCAAGAACGGCGTTGTCGTCAAACCCATCACGACAGATGGAGTGACGTACGTCCAGAAAGTCGCTTTCGTGAATAATGCAACGACACCCTGCATATTTAAGGTGAATATTTTGACGTTATGTGTTTGTTTACAATTTAGGGGCGGTGGGTTATAGTACTGTCGGAAATAGAAAAAAAATGTTTTTAGGCTCTTACTCTGTATCCCTAAAATTTACACAACTGCAAATAGCATATGTCGAAATAACCCACTTCGGCCTAACTTGGCATTCAGTGGGATGCGTAATAGGATATCCAGAAAAGCATTTTTACTCGAAAAATCGGGCAAAACTTAGAAAAATACGAATAGCTGCTGAAAATAATAGATCAGACTATAGATGGCAATTAGGTCGCTCAGCCAGGTATGACGACGGACCGTCGACTCACCTGGCATGAAATGCATGTGCTGCCTACAGGAGCCCAAGGGGTCATCTCAAAGATATTTGGTGCTTTTTCATGTGTGTTGACTATGCCTCATCTATTGATTAACAGCTTAAGTGTCTTTCTTTCATAAAGTTTATGTTGAGATATGTAAAAGAGTTTGATACCTGATAACCATAGAAACGCATCGTATTAAATGTCTCAAAATATATACGTGGCATGACCACCCGATCGCGAAGATCGACAGGACTGGATATTATTTGTAAATTGTTATGACATGCCGTGTACTTCCCCAGTATAATTGCCCTATCGTATCTTAGCTGATATCTCTATCCCCAAGCCCGACCCCAACGATCGTCTGCGACACCCGACCAGGTTTTGCTTTTGAGACGAACCCACCTATCTGTTTCTTTTTATAGTGACAGTGAGACTCCATGGTAGCTACATCCTTAATAGTTTCAGCATGAAAGTTATTATTTTTTACGCCAGCTATCGTTTATAATGAAGCTACGTCTAATTTCAAATTGGTCCTTAAAAGTGTCCTTTATAATACAATATCGTCGCACACTAATTTGCATACAGCCATGGTCTGTTCCAAATAATTCGTTTTGGACTTAGAAAAAAATCGCATTGCTCATTTCTGCACTAATCTCTCTTCAGTAAAGTCCTTTTTCTACGTTTCTTGTGTCCCTACCATTGAGACTGTAGTTAGGCCGAACTTAGTTTAAGAGATATTTCACACTTGCACATATCAACTCCATAAATTGTAGAGATAAATGAGAAAATACAGGTTTTTCTATTTCCGACAGTACTATAGTCTAGTGGTTAAAGCGTTCGCTCGTCACTACGAAGACCCGGGTTCAATTCCCCACATGGGTACAATGCGTATAGCCCATTTCTGGTGTCCCCCACTGTGATATTGCTGGAATATTGCTAAAAGCGGAGTAAAACTAAACTCACTCACGCACTGATCTGAGCCCTCCCTAGTATCCATGCTTGAACAGTCGGTTGAACTTTTGTTGCTAGCGGCTTGGAAACTCTAAAACATCTTTAGTTAATAACTGTATAACTTGCCGGTTGCCAAAATACAGCTGTAATATTTGCTGTGTAAAACATTCACTCACTGTTACAGGAATTGAAGGGTCTCCCTGATTTACAAGGTGAAGGTCAGAGTCTCCTGGAAGACAAGGGTGAAGGGCATCAATATACAAAATTCAGGGAACTACTACACTGTCACGTGTAGTTATGGCGACAAAGCGTACAACTCGAGTAAAAGTACTGAAATTGACAGCAGGTAGGTAGCATAAAGTCCGGGTTTGATTGCCCGTGTGATTACAACGTGTGGCGACTCTTTCTGGTGTCCCTCTGGATTTTGCTGTAATAGAGCTTAAAAGGAGCGTAAAACGGTACTTGACATATCGTGGTTTCAATATATTAGGCTCAGTTTTAGGTTTTGAAATATGGGTTTGCAACTGTACCTAAAAAGTATTTAGCCTCAACACAAAATCCTAGGCCCTCCAGAATATCAAAGGTCGATCCCTAATTTCTGGATCCTCTAACATCAAGCCTAAACGTCATAGTGGATTCGACCCGTGAAGATCCGGGTTATAATTGGTCTTCAGCAACCCATGCTTGCAAGAGGCGACGATCGGGTGGTCAGGCTCGCTGACTTGGTTGACACGGCGTCATATCACAGTTGCGTAGATCAATACTCAAGATGTTGATCACTGGATTGTCGAGTTAATGGAGTTGCTTCTGTTTTACCCCAGCCTCCAAGCTTTGGATGAGGTTATCCAGAACAAGGGGTCGTCGATGAAGTCGGATGTCAGCATGATTCTAGTGAACACACTGAATAGACCCATGGTCGGCACGATCGCCTTAGGAAGACGTCTCCGAATACAGGCAACGGTTATGGGTATGTATCAACGTCGGTCAGTGGTGCTTAACTTGCATGTATTGTAAAGGGTTTGGATGGAAACATGCGGCTTCTTAGTGGTGTGGTGTGGTGTGGTGTGGTGTGGTGTGGTGTGGTGTGGTGTGGTGTGGTGTGGTGTGGTGGTGGTGTGGTGTGGTGATTGAGGGGTAGATGCAGAGGCGTGGGGGTGGGGTGGGGAAGGGAGATGCAGAGGCATGGGTGGGGGCAGGCACAGTGTGCGAAATAGTTTCCAAATTTTGCAAGCCAATCGGGCTAGCTATGTTTGAAAGAATAATTCGCTTGTCCGAAATTTGAATGTAGACACGGGTTTCATCATTAAGCTGTTAATGATTATCATTTTCATCAGGCCATAATCTTGCATGATTTAAAAGTGTTATAACTTGACAAGTCGGAGAGAGTGATGTATTTACAAAATGACCCCATGAAAATTAACTAGCCAGGGAAGGGGGATTTACTGGCCCGACTGGATTTTTACTAGCCACGGGCAATCGGGTCAGTGGCTACTTCGCTCACTGCAGAGGCGTGGGTTTGGAGTGATGCAGAGGTGTGGGGACAAATATGTAGAACAGACAATAGGGCAGATCACTTTGTAGCTGAATCTTGTCGGGTTGTCTTTCAGGCAAGGTGCACGTTCGGCCAGTGAGTTGTTGGGCAGCAAGTGGGAATAAAACATACCACATTCTTGTTGGAGGGTGAGTCACTTCCACTTGTCCTATGTACCGGTTGAATAGGTAAAGTCCTACATTGTCTCGTCCCTAAACTACCGTGTATCGTGTGCACATCACATGACAATTCTACAGCATATTAGACATGTTTCTATCGCAAAAATTATTCACAATATTGTCAGTATTCACAATACAAAGTAGGAAAGAACACTTCCTGGTGCAAGTGTACAGTAATGGTGACGGTATAATAGTAAGGCACCAAATTGTTAGCATACAAAGTCATTTTATGCCTCTTTGCTAGTAAGGGTTCGAATTCCGGACAGCCCCAAAAGTACTGGAATTGTATTTTACAAAGAGAGTGTAATCCCAAATATGACACTTTACATTTAGTGTTAAAACAAGAGTTTGTTTTTCAAGTATGTTGAGGAAAACGATGTACTAGACTTTGGTCTAAGTTGACATACTTTTGATAAGAAGCAGCAGGGTATAGGTAACCTGATGGTGAGGTTCTCATACGTAGCAGCAGTGTAACCTGATGGCGAGGTTCTCATACGTAGCAGCAGTGTAACCTGATGGCGAGGTTCTCATACGTAGCAGCGGTGTAACCTGATGGCGAGGTTCTCATACGTAGCAGCAGTGTAACCTGATGGTGAGGTTCTCATACGTAGCAGCGGTGTAACCTGATGGTGAGGTTCTCATACGTAGCAGCGGTGTAACCTGATGGCGAGGTTCTCATACGTAGCAGCAGTGTAACCTGATGGTGAGGTTCTCATACGTAGCAGCAGTGTAACCTGATGGCGAGGTTCTCATACGTAGCAGCGGTGTAACCTGATGGCGAGGTTCTCATACGTAGCAGCGGTGTAACCTGATGGTGAGGTTCTCATACGTAGCAGCAGTGTAACCTGATGGTGAGGTTCTCATACGTAGTAACCTGATGGCGAGGTTCTCGTACGTAGCAGCAGCGTAACCTGATGGCGAGGTTCTCATACGTAGCAGCAGTGTAACCTGATGGCGAGGTTCTCATACGTAGCAGCAGTGTAACCTGATGGTGAGGTTCTCATACGTAGCAGCAGTGTATCCTGATGGCGATGTTCTCGTACGTAGGAGCAGCGTAAACTGATGGTGAGGTTCTCATACGCAGCAGCAGTGTAACCTGATGGTGAGGTTCTCATACGTAGGAGCAGGGTAAACTGATAGTGGTGTTCTCGTACGTAGCAGCAGTGTAAACTGATGGCGACGTTCTCATACGTAGCAGCAGGGTAAACTGATAGTGATGTTCTCATACGTAGCAGCAGTGTAAACTGATGGCGACGTTATCATACGTAGGAGCAGGGTAACCTGATGGCGACGTTCTGATACGTAGGAGCAGGGTAACCTGATGGCGAGGTTCTCGTAAGTAGCAGCAGGGTAACCTGATGGTGAGGTTCTCATACGTGGCAGCAGGGTAACCTGATGGCGAGGTTCTCATACGTAGCGGGGCGGTGGGGTAGCCTAGTGGTTAAAGCGTTGGCTCGTCATGCCAAAATCCCGGGTTCGAATCCCCACATGGGTACAATGTGTGAAGCCCATTTCTGGTGTCCCCCGCCGTGATGTGGCTGGAATATTGCTAAAAGCGGCGTAAAACCAAACTCACTCAGTCAGTCATACGTAGCAGCAGGGTAACCTGATTGCGAGGTTCTCGTACGTAGCAGCAGTGTAACCTGATGGCGAGGTTCTCGCACGAAGCAGCAGGGTAACCTGATGGTGAGGTTCTCGCACGTTCAGATTCAAGGCATTTCGTTCAAAGCTACTCCTCGATGACGACTGAAATGTTCTGCAGACATTGCTGGAACAGGGTAAACATCTCGTTCACGGCGCACTGGTCTGTACAGACGTACAAGCTGCAGTATTTAACATTGATTCCAGATGCGGTGATGGTTTCATTTTCAAAAAGACTGTCGGCTTCAACATCAAGGGTAAAACAATAAGGAGCCCTCTGTTCAGTGCATTCAGGCTTCCTGGATCGAAGACCCTGAACTTCAAGTGCATCTTCGCTGCCTGCAGCAACCCAGGAGCCTGTGATGGGGTAGGTATCTTGAACTGGGCAGCAAATGCGGGGTGGGGTTTACGTGGGCGGTACATTGCGGGGTCGGGTTTGCGTGGACGGTACATTGCGGGGTCGGGTTTGCGTGGTCGAGCTGGCGTGGTCGAGCATGCGTGGGCGGTACATACGGGGTCGGGCTTGCGTGGGCGGTGCATGCGGGGTCGAGTTTGCGTGGGCGGTACATGCGGGTCGGGTTTGCGGGGCGGGTGGCGGGGCGGTGCGGGGTCGGGTTTGCGTGGGCGGTACATGCGGGGTCGAGTTTGCGTGGGCGGTACATGCGGGGTCGCGTTTGCGGGATCGGGCTGGCGTGGGCGGTACATGCGGGGTCGGGTTTGCGTGGGCGGTACATGCGGGGTCGAGTTTGCGTGGGCGGTACATGCGGGGTCGAGTTTGCGTGGGCGGTACATGCGGGGTCGCGTTTGCGGGATCGGGCTGCGTGGGCGGTACATGCGGGGTCGAGTTTGCGTGGGCGGTACATGCGGGATCGGGCTGGCGTGGGCGGTACATGCGGGGTCGGGTTTGCGTGGGCGGTACATGCGGGGTCGGGTTTGCGGGATCGGGCTGGCGTGGGCGGTACATGCGGGGTCGGGTTTGCGGGGTCGGGGTGGCGGAACGATTATCGATAAGAAAACCGATCTCTCAAACTATTTGGGGAATTAAAATATGACTTAGACACACAATACACTAATATAGATCTTAAGTCATGGTTCACTCCTAAATTATGTTTAGAATTGTTTTGTTAGTAGTCCATGTAAATAAATATCAATAATCACCTATGACATGAAATATCTATTTCGGTATTGGAAAAAGAAATCACCAGTTACCGATATTCATCGATTATCGATCGATATTTACATGTAATTAATTTTTCCTTCAAATTTTGTCGGACTGGCTGCCTCTTTGAATAACTGTATTCTTACCTTGCAGAGTTCCTGCTACAAGGAGAAAGTGTTCAAGGACGAAAGTCTCGTAGGTGGGTAACGGTGTCGCTGTCTGTGACGGTGGTAGCTGTGGTGGGACAGCTGCTGAAATATACTGGACAAAAATAGTTAGGGATATATGTAAATTTGGAATTATGAATAATGATTTATTTCTTCACTGACACTCTGATAAAATATCGATCATAAAAATACCAATATCCCTAACTTATTTTGTCCAGTGTACTTGCTCCTTTGGTAAGTGGGTTATATATCCAATATAGGCTGGTGATGCAGCCACTATATAAGATGTAGCTACAGTAGGTCTGTGATGCAGCCAAAGTAAGTTTGGAATGGTTCGACAACATAGGCGGATGCAGAGGGTGGTGGGGTGGGGGTTGGTGTCAGGTGTGCAGGCGTGCGCCGCCTTTTGTCTTGACAGTTTATCAAAGGACCATTGAAACGTTCGTGAAAACAGGTAAAAATGAACTGTGCACCCCCCTCTCAAGAAACCTGTATCCGCCTCCGGACAATGTTGGTAATACTGCCACAATACTGAATACTGGTGACGCTGGGACAGTATTACTTATACTGCGACGATAAATGAAAGCTCTTAAAATTATAAACATATTTGTTTATTGCAGATCATTTCACAACGCGGAAATCACCAATAGTCGTAACAGAGTTCACTACGAGGCCAAACCAGACGTAGTTGAGCAGCCGATTGGGCCCATAGACTGCCAGGATGTGACAACATGCCTTGCAGTGGGGACAGGAACGACCGGTGACGGGAACGTGGGCGGCTGAACATCGGGATGCGCATCTTGCAGCCCCTGCAGGCCGGTATCGTGTTTGCGGCAAGCCCGTTCCCATCTTGATACTGTTCACTCACTGCGCTAGTAAATGTTACAAACCTATACCGTCGTTTTCTTCTGTTTCGTGTTTGAATGTTGATTAGTACAGCAAGATTCGGTGGGGTAGCCTAGTGGTTAAAGCGTTCGCTCGTCACACCGAAGACCCGGGTTCGATTCCCCATATGGGTACAATGTGTGAAGCACATTTTTCCTGGGGCTCCGCGTCGTGATATTGCTGGAATATTGCTAAAGGCGGCGTAAAACTAAACTCGCTCACTGATAGTACAGCAATATTTGTACATACTGTCCGAATAGTACTTGCAGAACTCGGTAACAGGGCGTTGGGGTAGCCTAATGGTTAAAGCGTCCGCTCGTCATGCAGAAGACCAAGGTTCGATTCCCCACATGATGAAGCCCATTTCTGGTGTCCCCCGAAGTGATATTACTGGAATATTGCTTAAAATCATACACTCTCATCCGTTAAGGACAGGTCACAAAACTTAGGTCTCCGACTTGTTAAAGTATTGTAGTTACGATCTTGCTCCAAGATCGGTCATCGGTAGGAGTGAGTGAGTTTAGTTTTACGCCGCACTCGGCAATATTCCAGCTATATGGCGGTGGTCTGTATATAGTCTAGTCTTGACCAGACAATCCAGTGATCAACAGCATGAGCATCGATCTGCGCAACTGGGAACCGATGACCCTGATGTGTAAACCAAGTCAGCGAGCCTGACCACCCGACAACAAGCATAGTCGCCTTTTGGGTTGCTGAAGACCTATTCTACCCCGGATCTTCACGGAGGTTATTGTCTTAAAATACTTTACTGCGCAGCTCTTATCCGCGGGTTGGGACAGTTAGACATAACAGGAAGATGACTGTGCCAAACGTTTAATAGCAGCCACATCCGAGTGACACATTTGGTGCACATCTGAACTCGAGTGGCATTTCAAGCAGGACTTCAGTGGACACGTCTCTTTTGGAGTCACGGTTTATCACCAAGGTCAAGGTAGCAAACCCACCTACACCTATTTGTCAAGAGGGGCGGTGGAGAAGCCTAGTGGTTAAAGCGCTCGCTCATCACGCCGAAGACCCGGGTTTCCCACACGGGTACAATGTCCGAAGCCCATTTCTGATGTCCCCCGTCATAAAATTCGTAAAACTAAACTCGCTCTTTAGTCAAGTATTGTCTGCGTAAATGATGGCCACTGGGCCTGAAGACAGTGGAAAATGTTGTTCAGCATGGCGGTGTCAAAAACTGCGGTCCAAGCCGTCAAGCATGTGGTCTGAGTTGTAAGTCTGCCGATTTAGAGAGCCACGGGAAGGTCGATATCTAGGTGAACTTCCGTATGGGTGCTACTGTTAAAGCCGATCTATGCTGCCTCTCAATTCACGATGGGAATAACCTGTAGATGTATACTAGGCACATAAACAAACTGTGCATACAAAAATTTAAAATCTAAATTTATCAAACCTGTGTAGACACATAAGGATTTAAACTCAGAGATTAGTGACATGTATCCAACATGCATGCACGTGCCACGTTCCGTGACGTCAGTGGGTTCGTCCTTGAGACGTGCAATACGTTGGTGCATGTGCATTCCGGGAAAGAGAAACAGAGCAAATGAATGCTACACAATACTGTCACTTTGGAAAGCTCAACCCCTGCCCTTGCAATCGTTCAAAAAATTAAACGGCTATTGAAACGCATAGCATGCCAAGGCTCACGTCTGCACAACGTCATGAGGCCATTGGGATGGTCCGTGGGGATTTATTACCCACGTGGTCAACGTGCCTATAGACGCGTGGGATAACGTTATTTATTACCCACGTGGTCAACGTATGGGTAGTTGCATACTAATCTCGTACGTCACACGAGTGTCGTATCGCGTTGACCTGTGTCGTAACGACTTGACCTGAGATTCTAACGATTTGATTGGATAACCGATGACCTCTCAGTTAGGTCACGTTGTGACGGAACTACTTGTTCATTCATAACAAACACGTGAATTCATTCATTCTACAACTTAGATGCATTGTGGGAATGTAAACATTGCGAACGTTGCCGTGTCGCTGTTTAATTGTGAGTCGAACTGAGACATTATATCCGTCGAAAAACATAAACGCAATGTTTCCACCAGTGATGTTAGCCGAGTGAAGCAGTTGCAAACCAAGAAACGGGGTGCTACGGAGTAGTTTACTGTAGGAGGCTGTACGAGAGGCGATGACAACTGACATGCATCGTGACGTCGGTTACCAAGGGGACAGACGAGAATGGCGTAGTGACGTCAATACAGTGTGACGTCATGCAAAAGTGTACTTCAGAACAAAATTCTTCCGCAACCTCTTTATGAAACCGGTTTCGGTTTGAAACCATAACAATAACAAAAATACGCTATTTTGTCAATTCAATGCATGTAAGACGTGGGTAATAAATAAAATACCACACTCGGTCTCATTACATACGAATTATACGAAACTCGTGACCTTCCTATGGTTTCTGACCTCGCTTTCGCTCGGTCAGATACCATAGGAAGGACACTCGTTTCGTATAATTCGTATGTAATGAGACCTCGTGTCTCGGAGAGAATATTTTGGTATGGTCGTTTGACCCCTGTCCCGCTTGAAGACTCGTGACGTCATTGTGATTGACTTTTCAATTGAAATTCTCCCGACTTGTTATGGTCTCATGATCCCTCCATTAAAGTTTATATGTACCTTGACATTGTTATCGTACTTATCAACTGGGATAATATTTTGACAATGCACAGTTTCTTTATGTGGCTAGTGTACAATAGCCTCGGAGAAATATGGCTGCTTAGTTGCCTTCTTTGCGCAAGGTTTGTTGTACCTGTGTGCAAGACCTACTGCCCACATCATTACTCTACCAATACTTTGGCTTAAAACTTTCAACGCTACAGTATTGCTGAATGTGGACTGTCATCGCTTCCCAATCATCACTGGATTGTCTGGTCCAGACTCGAATATTTACAGACCGCCGCCATATAGCTGGAATATTGCTGGAATAATGAGTTAAAACTAAACTCACTGAATGTGAACAGTCATGAAACCGCACACACACGGCATTATTACAAGAATTACCAGCAGTACATATTTCCAAAAACCTTCCCAACATCACAGAACTTTTCAGCGCTTAATACGCGGTGTATTGTTATACATATTGTGTGCCAAAATGTTATTCTGCATTTGTAATGCTACTTTGTAATTGGATAACGTAACAAAATACGTCACAGCGAGATTTGCTCAACTAAATCCAGATTTGGATACACCCTTGAGACCAATGCCATCTGTGAACGATTTCACTATTTAGCATCTTTCAGTGTGGGGCTCGGAACTTATCAACCCTGGCTGAAAACAATCCATGGGATTTAACAGGCGAAAGTAGGATTGCAATTGGTAATGGATTTAGAGAAATCGACAAATCTAACCATGAATTCCTCCAGATTGTAATACAGCTGGCGACGAGGGTGCCAAAGATGGCAGCATACACGAGTTTCGAGGCGCACAAGCTAGGAAAAAACTTTGCAAGGTGGTTGGAAGTCCTAAAATGAAAAAGGTGAAACATGAAATTACATATGGGAAGAAAATAAAATTAACTCAGGATTTTCAGACTGCTCGAAATATCTAACACACATTATATGAATATATAGTGTCCGTTTCTATCGTCACAAAAAATGAAAGCAAATGTCATCTGAATTTACTGAGAAAATATCTGAAATGTGGGGACATGGTATCCCCTTTGGTAGCAGTTGAGCTCCCCTTCTTGCTGTTCTGAAGAGATATTAAATAAACAGTATGCATCAAAGTAAAAACAAATAATCAAACCATGGAAAGTTTTAGATATATCGGTGATCATCGCACGCACGCACGCACGCACGCACACGAACACGCACACACACACATACCGAATGTCGATTATATATGTTTCCTTCCTGAACTACAGTCCGTTTGAGTCAGAAACGGACCGATGAATTGCAAATTTTATCATTGTACAAAATTGCCACATAAATATAAATAGTACACATGTTTATCATTTACTAATACCCTACAGCTTTCTTATATTCTTATACACAGCCAGGTGTGCGAGAAAGGATGGAGACGGCACAGCACAGGCTAATGAATCAATAACTTGGTGGGCACTTGTGCACGTGCTTCTCTAACACCTGGCTGTCCCTTTCTCTGCACTCCTCCCTCGTAACAAATAGTGAACTGTGTCTAAAGTTTAATGATATTTTCTTAAAGAACGTTTTTGGTGGAGTCCGGAAAATTTTCAAATATAAGAAAGCTGTAGGGTATTAGTAAATGATAAACATGTGTACTATTTATATTTATGTGGCAATTTTGTACAGTGATAAAATTCATCGGTCCGTTTCTGACTCAAACGGACTGTAGTAAATATAAGATGCAAATGAAGCCGACTGTTTCATATGTAGATATTTGCATTAGATTCAGATTGACGAAACGTTCTCGACGGGACTCTGACAAATGTTCCATTGTCAACGTTTCCTTCATGAGGAGAAATATGGCAACAGCTCCTGCTCCAGCCGATTTCATATCTACATTTCACAAATTCTGAGAGACTATCTTGTATGCTGTTCATGCGAAGATTTCTAAGAAAGCCATTCGACCCTTGCTCCAACCTGATGAGTCCGCCCGGAGAGCGGAAGGTCGCGGGTTCGATCCCCGACCGCGTCATACCAAAAGACGTTAAAATATGGTACTTGTTGGTCCCTGCCTGGCGTTCGGCATTAATGGGTACAACAAGGACTGGTCGGCTCGGAGTCAGTATAATGTGTCTGAGTGGGGTATTCATGCTTCACTGCGGCATGGCATCTCAGTGGGCTAGCACTATAAAACCAGCTTAAGTCTGGGCTAGTACCAGCAGCCGCACATACACATACACACGCATGCACGTCGTCAAATGAGCGAAATATTATCCAACCTGATGAGGGTTACAGCACTCTACGCTAAAAGCCAAGCTGTCAAAATGTTTTATGGTAGCCATGTGGAGGACATTTAACGAATCGGTGATGAATGTTTGGTTGGTTGTTTTACGCCGCACTCAGCAATATTCCAGCTATATGGCTTCGGTCTGTAAATAATCGAGCCTCGACCAGACAGTCCAGTGATCAACAACATGAGCAGCGATCTACACAAATGGAATATAATGACATGTGTCAGCAAGCCTGACCACCCGATTCCGTTAGTCGCCTCTTTCGACAACCATGGGTTGCTGAAGATCAATTCTAACCCGGATCTTCACGAGTCGGTGATGAACCTGATGTCTGATGCCCTTCCCTATTTCAAGTGAGACTTGACTTGCATTGTATTAGTGAGGCATGCCACCGGTAATATTACATTGTAATATAGTCACTACACTGCTTGTAATCACGTTACATAGCCAAGTGAGTCTTCTTCCCACCATTAGGGGCGATGGCCTTGAGTGAGTGAGTGAGTTAATATTTAACGTCACATCGGCAATATCTCAGCCATATCGTGACGAAAACAATTTATACAATAAAAGGTGAAAACATTTGGAAGATTAAAACCTGTCGACAATGGACAGTAAAAATACTAGAGAATCACAGATATGAATATAAAACTAGCGAGGAAAGCTTTGATGGCCTTGTGGGTTAAATGTTTCCTCGTGACACCAAGGCCCGGGTTCGATTCTATTTGGATACAACGCGTGAAGCCTATTACTGGTGTACCCTTATGTGGTTTGCTGGAATATTGCTAAATGTGGCTTGAAACCTTTCTGTCCAACTCACTCTTCCCGTGATTTGTAGAGAGTCATGATCAGATTAGGACGACCAGCCATATTTCCGCATATTTGTCGGAACGGCCAATTAGATATGTGAATACATGTTAGGGCTGTCTATCAAAGATTCCAATACATGCAGGGACGATCGATCAAACATTCAGACGTACTTTTTGTTTAATTTTAACACCGATATATAGCAATATTCCAGCTATAAGGCGGCAGTCTGTACATAATCGAGTCTGGATCAGACAATCCAGTGATGGACATCCATCATGGACATCAATCTGCGTAACTGAGATACGATGACTTGTGTCAACCAAGTCAGCGAGCCTGACCACCCGATCCTGTTAGTCGCCACTTAAGAGCTTAAGAACCACGGTCTATAATGGTAAATGCATGTGCGATGTGATCAAGTGAGCGTGATTTTACGCCGCTTTGAGCAATATCACCACGGGGAACACAAGAAGTGGGCTGCACACTACAGGGGCGTGTCACGCTTAGAAACAGCCTTAGAAAGACATATAGGTATATAGTACTAGGGTAGGGTCTATATACCTATATGTCTTTCTAACGCTATTTCTAAGCGTGACACGCCCCTTGTGGTTAAAGCCATGCTTGTCATAGGAGGCGACAAAGGGGATCAGAATTGCCGACTTGGTAGACTGTATGACACATGTCATCGTATCCCAATCGCGTAGATCGATGTTCATGCTGTTGATCACTGGATTGTCTGGTCCAGACTCAATTATTAGCAGACCGCCGCCATATAGCTGGAATATTGCTGAGTGCGGCGTTATACAACAATTTGTCAAACCAGCTAACAGCTCTCTGTTAAAATAGAACCGATGCTTGGGTGCTGCCTTGATCATTCGCCCAAACGCACCTGTAACCCTTGACGGGAATTCACGTGGAACACGTGCCGCTTCTGCCAGGATTGACTTGCTGATGTGAGATAGCGAAGATGAGGTCTCAGGTAAGAAAACCGTCGTTTTGATATCTTCTCAATTTGACACTGACAATAACTTTGACACAAGGCAATATTGTAATATCTTCAAACCAGAAACTAGAGTATCTGACTGACTAATACACAGATTAATGTTAAGTAATAACTTGCATCGCGTCATTACTGAAATGTAAAAAAAACCCCAAACATCCCAGTGTTATATCCCTTATAGTTAAGCTGCAATATTGCTGAAGCGGCTGAAAGCAGCGTTCACTCACTCACTCACTCACTTCTAAGAGGCGAGGAGTAGGTTCGCTGACTCAGCTGATGCATGCCATCGTAACCCAATTGCGTGGATGTATGCTCATGATGTCAATCACATGCCTGGTCAAGACTCGATTACTTACAGACTGCTGTCATTTAGCTTGAATACAGTTGGTTTAAATCGTGTATTTCATGGATGTTTTCAAGGCCAGTGGCTCGAGTCCAACAAGAATTGTCCTTTTTTAATTTTCAGTCTATAAAATGTGGTTTACTGTTTCACTGTATGCTGTCTACAGGTTCTCCTGTTGGTCCTGTCGTGCTTCACCCTCGCCTCGGTAAGTCACATCACGTCACGCCACGTCACGTCACGTCACGTCTCAACAAATCTGGGACCCGTGAAGATCCGGGGTAGAAAAGGTCTTCAGCAAACCCATGCTTGCCACAAAAGGCGACTATGCTTGTCGTGACAGGGATCGGGTGGTCAGGCTCGCTGACTTGGTTGACACATGTCATCGGTTCCCAATTGCGCAGATCGATGCTCATGTTGTTGATCACTGGATTGTCTGGTCCATACTCGATTATTTACAGACCGCCGCCATATAGCTGGAATATTGCTGAGTGCGGCGTAAAACTAAACTCACTCACTCAACAAATCTGGGGCGGTGGAGTAGCCAAATGGTTAAAGTGTCCTCTAGTCACGCCGAAGACCCGGGTTCGATTCAACACATAGTGTGAAGCACCTTTCTGGTGTCCCCCGCCGTGATGTTGCTGGAACATTGCAGAAAGCGGCGTAAAACCTCACTCGCTCACTCTTAACACAATTAAATATCCAATCTGATTTGTGAAAACTGAAATCAGCAGTCGATGTCTCAGCACAAATGACTCCAGCGAGGATCATGCAGCTACTGCTCAATATTAAACCCGTGAACTGCCGGGCTTGTCGTTAAAGGCGACTAACGGGATCGGGTGGTCAGGCTCGCTGACTTGGTTAACACATGTCATCGTATCCCAATTGCGTAGATCGATGCTCATGCTGTTGATCACTGTACTGTCTGTTCCAGACTCGACTATTTACATATACATGTAGCCAGAATATTGTTGCGTGCGGTGTAAAACTAAACTCGCGCTATGAGATTTAACGGTATAATAATTTGATTTTTAAAATTGTTTTTTCTTCTACCAAGTGCGGAGACGTGGTTATCCGTGGAGAGGGAAGTCTCATCAAAGGTAGGTTTAATATTTCCAAGCGTCACATGCATTCTCGGGCACGTGCTTAGTCATGTTCTCAAGTGAATAATGAAGTTTGGGTTATTCCAATAAGGGAATAGACTCTTCTACTGGAACCACGGTGGTCTCCCTTTGCTGTGCAGAGTTGCGTGGAAGTGCTGTGGAAACGTGGATCTGTTCCCTCTAATTTAACCGGAATACTGTTCAAAGTGGCATCCGTGGAGGAATCTCTTTAACACATAACGAACTTGCGGAGAACTATTATTCTTTCAAAAGCCATTTAGTAGTTGCCCTTGAATTTACACCATCAGATATTAAAGGCACTACTTCAAACCATACTTCTCTAAACATAAATAAGGCATTTCTCTCAACACTATCAGCCAAAAGGTAAGCTTTTGTACCATATAATATATTTTTTAAAAATACGTATTTAGATTGCAATATTAAATTAAAAAGTTCAAATGGATAAATGCAACGTTGCATTAAATCGACTCGCGCGCCCTCTACTGGCCGAACCCCATAGTTATGTCCCTTGGAGCGTTGTTTATGAATATTCAACGCAAAACTTGATTGGAACCAGTTCGGCAAACACCGACAACACCGCGTGCGACAGTTTTCTATGTACGGAGCAAGTGTTTACATTCCATATATGGCAAGTGTTCTCTGTTTAAAAGCTGTTCGCCACGAAGTTTTAATTATCGATTTTAGGCAAGTCGTAAGGGATAATATGTCTTTTATTGCATCAATAGGAAGCTAAAGTCGGTGCACATGCCCCAATATGTGTAATACTGGCCAAAATGTCGAAAATGTGTGAAATTGTGCCTTTGAATTTCAATTTGATAATTCTACATCCCTAATTTTGGGAATGGAAAGGTAGAATTATGATCAAACTGCACTAATTTGTTAAATTCAGAAGTATTTCTCAACTGAAATCGTAAACTTTATAACATATTGAACAACATTAGAAACGCACCACACTAAAATGCACCGACGATGCTCAGATATCATGGGTACATTTCAGTCTGACGGGGATATTTCGTATTATATGGGTGGTGCGTTTCTAATGTTGTTCAGTATACAAATATCTCAACTCAGTTTTATAAGCTGCTTAGGGTGTGAGATATGTTCCGTTCCTGTTATAATACTTAGCATAGCGTATTAGGCACCGGAGTTTGTTTCCTAAAAGATTCATAGATTATTTCGGTTTTTGATATTTTTCTTCCAGTCCAGTCCGACTGTAGCAAAACAAGAAATGGCGTCACGACCATCACTCTTTATGCAGACCAACCCGTTGTTGTGAACTTCGTTTGCAAAGGCGGCGTTGTCGTTTCGCCGAAAACACGAGACGGTGTGACATACGTCCAAACAGCTGCCTTCGTACCTGGTGCAGGACCTGTCTGTCTGTTTGAGGTAATTCAAGATGCTCAGCAACTTACTAGTGGGCTGATATTCGCATTAGAGTTGCCTCCCTTAGGTGTGACCGAAATTCATGATCGTTTCTAGGTTCCTAGTAAACGTCGCATTCAGCAATATTCCTGCTGTATGACAGCGATTTATGGTTTATTGACTCTGGACCAGACAATCCAGTGATTAACATCATGGACGCCACAGACATAGTCGTTAAACAAACCTTTTAACCTGCTTCTTTTCATCATGTAACCCATGAAAATATGCAGTTACCCATGCTTGTCATAAGAGGCGACTAACGAGATCGGGTGGTCAGGCAAGATTACTTGGTTGACACATGTCATCGTATCCCAATTTTGTAGATCGATGAGCATGCTGTTGATCACTGGAATGTCTAGTCCAGACTCGATTATTCACAGAACGCCGCCATATAGCTGGAAAGTGCGGCGTGAAACAACAAACCAGCCAAAAATCAAACTTTCCATCATGTTCAGGCCAATTATCAGTGGCCTCTCATGTCAAGATTCCAAAGTTCAGGCTTTGTTGAAATAAGGAAGAATTTCCAACTATACATGTGAAAATGAGGACTTGAGATTTAAATCATAAGTACAACTTGTTTTCCAGAAAATGGCAAGGGCCCAAGTATATAAACTGAAAGTAGAAGTCGCCAGAGGAAAGAAAGGGGGAACTTTCGTCGTGAATGACGATAACATCTTTCTCGTCACATGCAAATATGACTCTGAATCGAAAAATAGTACCACTAAGGAATACATTGACCTCGGGTAAGAATACGCATGGTTCAAATTCCATCTCTTATATGCTCACCCGTAATGATCCGGCTTAGACTTGATCCTCAGCTACTCATGCTTGTAACGGTACGGAGAGGTCAGGCTCGCAGACTTTATCGAATCCCAGCTGGTGATATCAATGGATAATTTCAGTTGCTGACTTGTCTTTTTGACTGGGTACAATCAAGAACAAATCATTACTGTGGCCTACAATTTCTCTTCCTACAGAGGTTACTTGTCATATCTTCCCACGAACCTCTGTTCTAATACGGCCCTTTCATGGTGCGAGTGTTCAGAATTGTGATTGGTTGCAATCAGATTTAGTTGTGCAATCAGCGACGTTGTTTCAAAAGTGATCATTCGCAAGGCCTCGGTAATTTCCGTATGCTTCGGGAAAACTAGAACCTCTTCCCCTGCGCGATGCACAAACGTTTCTAAAAGACAGAACTCAGTCATATAAATGGCGTCTCCATCGCCCTCGTGGACAACGGACAAGTAAGCCATTAAAAGTCTTGTGTGTCACATCAACACAAGTCCCCGGCTGAGGAGGGATATTTGTGGCCCCACATTTGCTTGTATAAGATCAAGTTGGATCTAAGTCGATTTAACATCTGTGCTGATTGGATAGAAAGAAGGGAGATAATTCGTTTTGCTATTTTTTGCCGCTAGGGGATTTTACGAGAACCGGGAAATTTGGCCGTATTAGAACAGAGGTTCGTAGGAAGATATGACAAGTAACCTCTGTGGGAAGAGAATATGTATCTGGGTCTGGGCATTACACATCAGTGAAGATCCGAATTAGAATTGGTCTTCAGCAACCCATGATTTTCGTAAGAGGCGGCTCTTGGGATAGGGGACCCGTGAAGATCCGGGGTAGAATAGGTCTTCAGCAACCCATGTGCTTGTCATAAAAAGGCGACTATCTTGTCGTAAGAGGCGACTAACGGGATCGGGTGATCAGTTTCGCTGACTTGGTTGACACATGTCATCGGTTCCCAATTGCGCAGATCGATGCTCATGCTGTTGATCACTGGATTGTCTGGTCCAGACTCGATTATTTACAGACCGCCGCCATATAGCTGGAATATTGCTGAGTGCGGCGTGAAACTAAACTCACTCACTCACTCACTTGGGATAGGGTGGCCAGACTCGCTTACTTGCTTGACACGTCATCGTATCCCAGTTGCGTAGGTCGATGCTCGGGCTGTTGCTCACGTGATTGTCTGGCCCAGATTCGATTATCTAGTTTTGCTCTCCCGATGCTGCTAGATGAGTTGTGAGATGAAAAACACATGGACGGCATAACATCGAATTAGAACAATCATCCCTTGCATGAAGTCGTGGCGGTGGGGTAGCCTTGTGGTTAAAGCTTTCGCTCGTCACGCCGAAGACCCGGGTTCGATTCCCCACATGGGCACAATGTGACTCCCATTTCTGGTGTCCCCCGCCGTGATATTGCTGGAATATTGCTCAAAGCGGTGTTAAACGTAATTCACTCTCACTCACTCACTCGTACAAGTAGCATGACGTTAAATGACATGAATAGACTCGGATATTGATGCTTGTACTTTCAGACATTATATTTTCGAGGAGATTTTTAAGAACAGTGGCTCAAGACTCAAAAGCATTCCAGTGGAACTGGCGGCCGTAGACGTAATTGGAAAACCAGTCAAAGACGCGTCACTCGGGCGTATTGTGAAGCTCCGTGCAAAGGTTAAAGGTACTTGGTATATACCCTTCTGCAGCCCACGCTGTCGAGAGTACAAGGTATTGGTTTTTGCTTGAAAACTACGGTCCATTTGCCTTAACTGGTCCTACAGTACTGTCGGAAATAGAAAAAAAACCTCTTTTCACATTTATATCTACAAGTTAGGTAGTTAATATGTGAAAGTGTGAAATATCTGTTGGACTAAGTTCGGCCTAACTACAGTCTCAGTGGTAGGGAGATAGGAAACGTTAAAAAAGGATTTTACTGAGGAGATATTAGTGCAGAAATGAGCAATTCGGGTTTTTTCAGTCCGAAGAGACTTATTTGGAGCAGACCATGGCTTTATGCAAATTAGTGTGCAATGATATTGTATAACAAATGGCACTTTTTGGATGTCAATTTTGAAATTAGACTTAGCTTCATAATAAACGATATCAGACGTAAAAAATAACAACTTTAATACTGAAACTATTAAGGATGTAGATACCATGGAGTCTCACTATCGCTATAAAAAGAAACAGGTAGGAGTGGTCGTCTCAAAAGCAACACCAAGACGGGTGTTGCTGACGGTAGTTGGGGTCGGGCTTGGGGATAGAGCTATAAGCTAAGATTAGAAAAACGATAGAGACATATTCATGAAAAAGCATAAAAGAATTGAGATGACCCCTTGTGTCTGTGGGCAAGTGAGTTGACGGTCCGTCGTCATACCTGGCTGAGCGACCTAATTCCCATGTATAGTCTGATCTATTGTTTTCAGCAGCTGTTCGTATTTTTTCTAAGTTTTGCCCGATTTTACGAGTAAACATGCTTTTCTGGACATCGTATTACGCATCCCACTGAACGCCCAGTTAGGCCGAAGTGGGTTATTTCGACATATGTTATTTGCAATTGTGTACATTTTAAGGATACAGAGTAACAGCCTAAAACATTTTTTTTCTATTTCCGACAGTTTTCTATTTAGTACTTCGAGGTATAGCTACTGATGTAGTTAGGCCTTGCAGTTGGAACAGTACAGTCCCTTGGCAAATACGAGTGACCAGCCGCTTAAGGCGCTGCAATTCGCCGCAATTCGCTTGCAGAGTTGCGTCCCTTGGACATTGCAGAGAAATCTGATGATTGGTTCGAATCTGTTCGCCTCGGTTGTTTATCTATGTTTCTATGTTTGATGTCCGTGCTCGTGGGTTTCACCAAAATTGTGAACGTCTGATATTTGCATCACGTCTCACTTTTCCGTATAAGCTACGTAAAACAACTCATTTTGTGCAAGTGGGCCTGAACTGCTACTCCTTCGTGGGTGACGGGCTATAGGTAATCTTCTGTCGTTTATAAATGTGGCTCTGAAACAGTCAACCAAATAAAACATTTCATCGTGAACTATAGGAAAGTAACGAAATATGGCACGTTAATATTGCATGCCTTCTATATTATGTTAAGGGAGGTCGAGTGGACTTTAAGGTCGCATTGTAGATTTTTGTAAATACTAAAGCCGGTTTTATTACTTGCTCGCCCACATGGATACCTGACTCAGACATGACCTAGTGGTTAAAGCGTTCGCTTGTCACGCCAAAAACCCGGGTTTGATTCCACACAGGGTACAGTAGTGTCCCCTTCGTGATATTGCTGGAACATGCTAAAAGTGGCGTAAAACCATACTTAGTCTGCATACTGTTTATCCCTGTTAACCTGTTGCAGGGCATCTGTTTCCAAGTGTGGACAAACGCAAACGCAAACGCACAGGCGGCATAGTTTTAAATGCAATAATGTTGAACATAGCAATGGGCCCCGTTACACCACCGCCAGCACCGCTCACTGTGAAAATATCACGACTCTGAAGTGATGTTTCCTCTTTCAGGGTCACTGCGCCTTCGTCCCGTCAGCTGTGTTGCCTTCAATGGCGTCAAGGAGTATCGGATTCTACTTGGCGGGTAAGCTTCTTCCAGCCTCACTGCGATTGTTTGTTGTTTAATGCCGCTCTCAGCAATATTCCAGCTATATGGCGACGGTCTGTAAATAATCGAGTCTGGACCAGACAATCCAGTGATTTACATCGTAAGCATCGATCTACGCAGTTGGGATACGATGACATGTGTCAACCAAGTAATCTTTCCCGACCACCCGATCCCGTTAGTCGCCTCTCACGACAAGCATTGGTTGAAGACCAATTGTAACCCGGATCTTGACAGGCAGAAGAGAAATGAAATCGTGCCAGAGAGCGGACATCGGGTCACCCAAGAACCCATGCATTTTTCCTTTAGGTTGGTTCGCCTGACGCAACCTCCAACCTTGTTAGATCTCTCGATAGAGGGACATACTACATCCATTTGTCTAGAGTTACGTCCCTTGGGCGGTTCGAATCTCGTCTTGTTTATAGGTTTGTCAGCACCATGACCATCTTGGCGGGTTTCACCAGCTACTCACGGCGCGGGATACCCGAAATGGTCTTCGCGCATTGTACCCATGTGGAGAATCGAACCTGGGTCTTCGGTGTGACGAGCGAACACTTTAGCCACTAGGCTACCCCACCGCCCCTACGACTCGAGTATAACATCTGATATTCATGTAATACAATCCAGATAGACGGTTTCAGGTGTGGTGATGGCATTGTGTTCCGAAAGACATCCGGCTTCAAAGTGAGAGGCAGAATCATCGACAGTCCATTCTTCGTGGCCTTCCGTCTACAGGGGTCCGTGCACATGGGGTTCAAGTGTAACTTCACCGTCTGTCACAACGCAGCCAAGTGTGATGGGGTGAGTGTCGTTGCCGTCCACAGCTTGTTTACCTGGCCCAGATTCTTAACCTTCAACCGCAAGGCTGTTCATGTAATCACACGGGCAGGAACATTCAGTAAAATGTAAAACTGAGCTGTACATAAAGTATCTTCCCGTACTGGTCTTGCTTCACTAATAAACAGAATCAAGCCATGAATTCAGAATATAACTCGGTTAACATGATTGTGAACGTTTTAATTCGAATTAGGTATTTTTTACTGACGTGCTACAGATTGGGGACATTAGAGCTGATCCAGATGGATACCGGAATAAATTAATTACAAATGACGTGCGTGAACGCCCCCACGTGACAAACGTTCGCCCTCCCTGTTTCAGAATTCCTGCTACAAGAAAAACAGAAAAAGACCTAAGCGAACAGCATTGTATCCTTTACAAACAGGTATTTTCAAAGTTCTGTTCTGTGCACGGAATTCCGCTCTCGGTAACAGTCTATCCCTTAAGGCATCCCCACAACAAACAAGACCCGTGAAGAAGATCCGGGTTAGAATTGGTCTTCAGTAGCCCATGCTTGTCGTAAGAAGCGACAAACGGGATCTGGTGCTCAGGCTCGCTGTCTGGGTTGACACATGCCATCGTATCCCAATTGCGTAGATCGATGCTAATGCTGTTGCTCACTGGATTCTCTGGTCCAGACTCCATTATTTACAGACGCCGATATGTAGCTGGAATTTTGCTGAGTGCGTCGTAAAACTAAACTCACACACCAATGATCAGTAAATCTGACATGAAGGGCAACGTCGACACATTGACGGGTTGTCAAACGAGTCACCCAGCCCGCAGAGTCAGTTGACTATCCGATCCATTTCCTCGCCTTTTACAAGTACAGACTGCCCGGGGGACCTATTAACGAATCTCCCATATGGATGCGAGTATTAGAGTGGGGATGGTAAGCCATGATTTTATTTGACATTACAGCAAGCCGTCAGGTATGTCTGGCCCAGATCCCAGTATTTGCAGACCAACTGATATAACTACAATAGTACTGATAAGGATATCAAACATTCAGTCGCTCGTACTGGTTCGAATCCCGGTCTCCTCCTTGGTCAATCCTACGACATATTAAACTGCACCGGTTTATTGTGTACAATGTGACAGACAATGGCCAATATTACAATAATAATTATACATAATCTTATCAGTAATGCAGTTTCAACAACTGGCTTGGCCGGTCAAGGCTGTCATTACATCGGCGTACTATTGCGGGTTTAAACGGCATTCATTCACTTCTCTTGCAGGTCCGGAGTACGAAGAACAGGAAGAAGAGATGTTTCCCGTCACCGCCGTGATGTCTCCCATCACAATCAAGCCGTCCTCCAACCGACGACGACGACGAACATGTCGAAGACACGTCCACGCATTCCTCTCGCGGCGGCCTCCGTGTCCATCCGCCCTTCCATAACACGTTCCAAGTTCGGTGTTGATGGACTCCTTTCGGAATTAAACTGGTGGTATACGGTTTTAACTGTTTCAGTTCTAATTACCGGGATCGCAGTCACTTGTGTGCTCTGCAGTAATATTGACGGGTTTTGCGGTCAGTCATAGTAATCTGGACGGCCCCGTCTCCGTTGTAATCAAGATCTACAAATGTGCTGATCCATGAAACATGGGCATGTTGTCGCGGGAAGGCGATCTATCCAGACAAACTTGTTTCGAACCCACGATACTTTCAATCGGGATACAGAAACAGATTCATTCTGGTCGAACTGTTTTGTCGAGTTTAAATAATACTGAAAGCGACATTATTGGTATGACTCAGGACATACGGAATTGCACGAAGGCTCTTCAGCTCCATGTGTAATGACACTATCTTGATGTCCTTACGTTGAAATGCTGGTCGTGAGAGGCGACTAACGGAACCGGGTGGTCAGGCTCGCTGACTTGGTTGACACGTGTCATCGTATCCCAATTGCGTAGATCGATGCTCATACTGTTGGTCACTGGATTGCCTGGTCCAGATTCGATTATTTACAGACCGCCGCCATACAGCTGGAATATTGCTGAAGACGGTGTTAAACAACAAACCAAACCAAAAACCTTACGTTGAATCACATAAAAGTACGTGAAAATATATGCCAAGATCGATCAATGGTTCCGTTACCGTAATAAATGGCAGCAAAAAGATTCGGATGGTTTGAAAGTGATTTCCGTCCTGAAAGCAGTCTGGCTCCCTGGGTATACTGCGCCGGCGCTTCATAGAGTAAAGCGCCGGCGCAGCATACCCAGGAAACCTGCTTATATTGACAGGTCCAGGCTTTACAATCTGTTCAGATAGAGCTGTGGTATCAGGCATGTAAGTCTCGCTTGGCGCTACTTCCGGTACTAACTGGTTCCCGGCTCTTTGAGCGCGCCAGTTCTGGTACTAAATTGCCAAACCGCCAAATATAACGTTACTAGACCGGACCAAGTGTACAACCATCTTTGGTTGTCACAGCAGCCGAGTAATAGTTGGCTAATTTGGGGATGGTTAGATCGAAAATAGTTATTCCTGCAAGGATTATCGGTTCCTTACTGTCAACCATGAGATCATTCGAAAAGGTATGAAACGTTTGTCACCGGAAGTACTAAGGTCACGTACAATGCCATGACCTAGTTACGGGCCCTATTGCTAACTGCAAACACCATCCACTCAGTTTCTGAATACGCATCCATTCAAGTCGGAGAAAGATCTGGAGAAAGCAACCCTCAGTTATTGTTGTTTGGCTTCAACTTTTATCAGTTACAACACGTCCTAAACGATTGTCATGGTAACCACAACTGGGATGGAGACGTGACAATGACTGAATTTATTGCATAAAAAAGCTACAAATTTAAATGACACATATGCACATTACATCATGGGTATCCAAACATCGTGTAAATGTCAACATTTCCGTTTGAGTAAGTCTAAAATTACATCCAGCTCTACTAGCTTACAATGCTTCACAAACTTTCGGTCATACCATCTGAAAATGATTCTTTTACTAATGTCTTACTGGCAAACGAGGATAAGTTGGACCGGCGCAGAGAACCCGTTTACAAGAAGTAGGCCGTGCACGGCAATGAGCAAGCCCATTTGGTTTGTAAAAGGCATAGCAGATGTAGGCTAGTGCGCGTGCATTATATGACGATGAAACTGATTCCACGCGTAGCTGCACACGCCTTGCTCATAAGATACGCGTCGGTGTAGCAAGTCGCACTAAACTTGATCATGGACAACCTGGGGCCCCTTCGCTAACGATGGCAAGCCCCAGTGGGCGGCACTCATACATGCTAATAGGGGTCAATTGTCAGGTCTGTGCTCAACTTATCTTTGTTTGCCAGTAAGACAATACCAATTTCATTGAATCAGTTACACTGAATCTTCACAAAATACCTTTTATTGAAAACTGGGAATGGTTACACATAAACTGATTATTGAAACAATCCTGCATCTTATGGGTTCAAATGACTTTGACAAAAGTATATATTCCCCCATCAGGGAAATACTTGAGCTGAGGGCAAATAACCATATACCCCTCTAAAAAGTAAAAATCTGCATGCTGCTGAACACTGAAAGTCATATGACCCTGGACGAGTTAACCCCCGTTAAAAAAATAATAAAACAAATTCTAAATTGATTAGTAACGTTTTTTTCATAAAGGAAGATTGACACCTCCCTGCAAGATAATTTCTTATCGCAGATTTACTCAAGGTATATGTTGTTTAACGCGACCATTGGTCTTCTACTACTTGCATTCAATCCTTTAATAATAGACAAGATATGTGAGGCCACAAAATAAAACTGGGTACATAGTATTTGAGGTTATTCATCTTTTTATCATCTGTTGGACACATCTGAATATGGTTACACATGTGGCTATGCTATATACAATTTGTCTGTTTCATTGCTTGATGTGGTGCAAGATATACAAATACGACAATGATCCTAGATAATGGCTTCTATTACTGATATACAAGGCTCTGAATGCTGATGTCTTCAAGGAGTCTGTCGTCTTCTTGCACGCTGCTTGTCAAACCTGGCTTCCATTTCATCCAGTACTCGGGGCGTGTATCGCACAACCAGACTCACTGTACCTAATGGAGAAACATTTGCTGATGAACATGTGATGTTTACAGCATGCTAAATCCTGCGGCCTAAAGGCAAACAAGCTGAAAACAAACTCAGAAAAGAACAAACAGTGGAAAATGTGTGCAAGTCGCCATTTAATTAATGTGGTAAGATTTGCTGTTTCATGAAGTACAAACTATAGTACTTTTTTGGTGCCGACTTCATTGCAGCATTTGAACCTACATTCTGGGAGTGATGCACCCAATGGCCAGCACACACAACAGACCTGGACCCACCATGCCATAACAGCTTCCACAATATGAAAGTCTGACAACTATTATTCTACATTACAAATTTTTCAAATTGTGTATGAGTAATTCTTGACTGATCCTATTTACAGGCACACACAGAGAGACAGACAATTCCACTACGGTAAATAATAATGCATAAATTATTTTTTTTAAATCTCACGGATTTGTAACGGTAATTAATTAGTCAATGGTCAAAATAAAGAAGCCCTTCAAATGGAGAAGTAATTTCCTACTTCAGACTACTGTACACATTTACCTGAAGCTTCTTTCAAGAGTTCTACTGCCTTCTCATGGTGCTCTCCTTCCACGCTCTGGAATAAACAAGGGAGGCTAAGCAGACACCAACACAGGAATCGCCTTATTTTCATTAGCAAAACAGTTTCATTCAAACAACTGCCTGGCAAATTGGCAACAAAAATAAAGCAAATTGATTGTTACTGATATTTTCAACAGTTCTATTTCTGGCATGTTAAATAAACATTTTCTTTTTCTGTCCTGTTGTATATGAAATAAAGAGTTGTTTTAATCCAAACCATCACATTACAATCATATTAACATTCATTGAGATGTTTTACTGACATAAGCCACAGATACAGGGCCGGATATCAGCTACTGAGCAGAGCCCAATAAAACAATGAACTTTAGCAATTAGCAATAAGGCCATGAAAAGTTTCTTTATGCAAGTCCATGAATACATGCCATATTCACAAAATCCCAGGACAACTCGAAATGTATAAACAGTGGGGAAAGTTCTATGGATATACAACTTCATCATTATCAGTAGATGGCGTACCGTGTACGCAAGACAGTCCCCTGTTACATGTACAAGTGACTACCGGACAGGGAAATTCTGCATGTCACACAAAAACGCTTCAAGACAAAATTTGGTGTAGTCATGGGATGTTGCTCAAGTTATTGAATGATGTCATTCGAAATGTAAAAAGTATATGAAACATTTAAATTTTGACCAAAATGTAAGCAAAATTTGACAATTTATCACATCAAATTTCACTGATGTGCATATTTTTCAGAAAATTAAAATTTGCATTTGAGAAAGCTCATTCATCATAGATTAAAAATATATATGCAGTTTTTGACTCACATGAACACACACCTGTTTGTTATTACACTGAAACACATTCACTTTGTTTGAAACTGCATGAAGCTGTTATTATTAATGTAAGTAACATTTCGGGTGTAGATGCTAACACTCTTATGAAGCAAGTGAAATGTATAGTTATGCCAAGTTAAATACTCAAATTAGTTACAAGAGTAAAGCGTAATAATGACACTTTTAATATGGACGTTAGATGAATGGTGCCAAGGTTTGAGCTAAATGGACCTGACATCACTACATGACTCCTACTGCCCGGACACCTACCACGCCATTGACTGACAGCAGTTGATCGCCACGTTTGAGCCCCTGGTGCCTATCTGCCACCCCCCCTGGAATGATGCGTGAGATGTAGATGGGCGAGTTCTGTTCCTTGCCCCCCATCACATTGAAGCCCAAGCCCTCCTCTGTCTTGGGAAGAAGCACGACCCCGGGGGTGAGCGTGACCCTCACTGGCGGCAAATGCAGCTACTGTGGCCTGGAACAAATCAAGTTGGATTTAAGAGGTGAGGTGAACCCAATTTTAACATCATGCTTAGGATCATAACTTATAATATGTCCGCACTAATTCCCAATCATATAGATATATCCTGCTAGCTCACCAAGATACCATGCCACAGTTTATCATGGACACCCCGCTAAGACACAGTACACTGATACTGATCATGCTGAGTTTGTATTATTCTTCTTTTATAGTCTTTTTGTGGTGAAAACGTACCGATGAATTTCACTTTAAACAAAAAAGTAAATCAAATAAAGTGAAATTAAGATTGCGAATCCTCAGAATTTTACCTTGCCATTTGAAAATTTAAATCTCAGAATTTTATTCAACTTGGGATGAAAGTTGTTTAACAAACGATCATAGTTTCAAATCGGTATTATTGGTTTGTATTACAAGGGGGTATGCACATAAAATGAAACACCGAGATCAAGTAGGGTTGGTCTAAGTTAACGCTCATCACGTACCGCACGTGCATTTGTTTCACTGTTCCAGCTACCCCTTTGTAATACAAACCAATATAAGCGATTTGAAACTATGATCGTTTGTTAAACAACTTTTTTCATAAGTTGAATAAAAATCTAGATTTAAATGTTCAATTGGCAAGGTAGAATTATGAGGATTCGCAATCTTAATTTCACTTTATTCGATTTACATTTTTCTTTAAAGTGCAATTCACCGGTACGTTTTCACTGCAAACAGACTATAGTGCATGTTTTATTCTTTTAGTGCATGTTTTATTCTTTTAGTGCAGAGTGCAGGGTAAACTCATGTGCCATTTTGTATCAAAGACAGCTTGACGAGTATGGGAATTAAACCCTTGATAACCTATACTCTGTGCAGGTGCTGCATCCTCAGTAACAGTGAACATGTATGCATATTGCAATACTATTTCAATAGTTTTTCTCTCCTTGAATTGTCTCATTTTAAGTCATTTCCCAAATGAATGTATAGTTTATACGAAATAAAAACTAGTTGAGGTAGTTTCTGTCTCTTTTAATAACTGACAAGAAACCTGAAACCCAGATCAAGTAAACAGTCATGTTTGTAATGGGCAGATAACACTAAACCAAAGTGAACAAATCTAGTGCTTCCTGTATTTTGCGCTGCACATTTATCAACAGAAGTCAATTACTAAACTATGGATAGCCACACATACTACATCGATAGTTTTTCCTTTCTACCATCGATTAATTGCTATCAGACTCAACAATTGCAATCCATCCATAGTTCGATGCATTGTTACAGCTCTATGCACCTACCTACATATCTTTGGACCTATTCCTATTTTCACATGTCTGATTATTCTAATATGAAGATGTTAACATTTAATATATAATGAGTAGGTTTTTCAGTGCGATAAAACCAAGGGATAAATTTTGGGGTTCATAAATGAATAATATGCAAATGAAACAGTTTCCTCATGCATAATTTCACTGACCCTAAACAATAATGGTGTGATCCTTGACTACTGGGCAATAATTGACAGTCTGAGATCTACACAATAAGTAGGATAAGTATTATCAATATGACAATAACAGTCTTAAAAGTGAAAATCATCATCTAACTGGGGTGTAGATATAAACAATTGGATATCTGTATAAAATCACAACCCAATATTAAGCTCATATACTCAGGCACATGTAAATTGATGTCGCAGCTTGATGGTGATTGACAAGTATGACAAGCATGTATATCACAAGCAGTTAGTTACAAAACCCACCTTAGCTGTAGCATTAGCCCTGATCTCTGGACTGCCAGACATGTCAACTGTCTCGTACACATTCTCGTACACCTCCCTGACGGCTGTCAGGAAATCACTCTGAAGAATCTTCTGTAGAGCCACCAGCTTCTGTGCAGGGAAATCCCCACCTGTCACAGAGGAATCAACTATCATAAATCTATGCAGTGCTCACGGTGATAAGCACTCAGATTCATGAAATATGTATGTTATCTTTGTAATTCCGAAAACCTGGTTATTGCATGTAATATCATGTCACATAACATAAAGTAACAGTAGTCACTTACTCCTCTGCAATACATCCAGAAGTTCAATTGCCCTGTTGATATCTGAAAAATAAAGGAAGATGGTGTCAGCGTATACTGGGCTTGATTTAAAGTATGTAAGAGTGAGAGAGTGAGTTTAGTTTTACGCCGTACTCAGCAATATTCCAGCTACATGGCGGTGGTCTGTAAATAATCAAGTCTGGACCCGGACCTTCATGGGTGAGGTATGTAAGAGAAGTACATGCAACTTGACCTAAACACAAAGACGAAATCAAGTGACCAACGCTGTCTGAAACTCTGTACAGTAAACTGAGAGCCTTAACATACCATATTGACAGCACATTTAAAAAAACTGTAGATTAAGAGGAAAAACTGAACGTCCAAACATTTTAGCTGAAGAAATATTCTCTTGCAATAGAAATTACAAAACACAAATACATCGCACAATAGCCTGACAAAATCTGGAGGTAAACAGACATAGCATCGGAGTACCAGTCGAACTGCTCTAGCTACAAAATGCCCCAGCATATTTGGTCAAATTGCTCTGGGTTTTGGGTCAAATTGCCCCAGGGTTGGTTGTCAAAATGCCCCAATTAATTATGTATATGCCATAAATGTATAGTTTTTGTCAACTTTGATATTACATTCTTCATATAAAAGTTAGTAGAAAGAAATATTTCTGATAAATGTTCCATAGTAAACTGATAAGAGCAAAAGGAATATACATATATAGAAAATACTGCGATACCAATTATTGTGTGTGAATGTTTGAGCATTACAACTACTTGAGTTGTAACTTGTATAAATTGATTTTGGACGAAGGGTAAGTCATTCACTCGTTCCAACTGACAAGATGACCATCAACTGCAGTATGAAGTATGAGGAAGCGGACAGGACAATAATTTTCAGTGAAGAATAAAAATCAAAGTTTACAAATAACTATTCATTTATGGCACATATTTAGCCATTTTTAAAAAATCGGGGCATTTCCCAAAGGCCCATTGCAAACACAGGATTGACATCACAAACATCTGTCTGTCCCACTGGGGATTATTGGGGATTATGGACCGAAATCTTTCCCATGATGACACTGAAGAATATTCAGGCAGATGTGTTTTCCAGTGCATGAATTGTTATGCTTATAATACATGTAGATTTGTCCCATGACAAACATGTGCATTGGTACCTGTCAAATACTCTACACGTTTTAAGTCCACATTTACCGTATCCAGGAAAGCGGCTTAATATTTTCAATATCTGTCTTAAACTCCTAACCAGAGGATATGATCATCATGATGATATGTATTTCAAAAATCAAAACGTTATTCCTTCCGCCCAATATACATTAGCGATTGTTTCAAGCAGTAAATTAAAATAATTACCATCTCGATTTCTACACTGGGACGGTGACAGAGGAACGGGAAACCATACATTCCGTAAATTCCTACCACATGAAGTCAACAGCAAAGTATGGATAACTTGTTTCTCTTCCGCATAATCATTGCGACATGGGCAGTTATGATGCGCGAATTCGCCCTGTAGTCGGCATGCATATGCAATACATAATGTCAGACAAATGATTCCCGTGTGTAGAATCATTTACGCATTTTCCAACAACAAATAAATGATAAGAAACTCACCTTTCTCCAAAGTGAGAGGTTCAGCCACAGACGCCATTTTGTCTAATGAACAAGATGCTATTTGCCAACGACAGACGATTGTTAAAGGTTCAAATATATATTCTCTGTTGTGTCATATTCTAAGATTCTACCTATACTTTGTATAAAATGTCATAACATATTACCTAATTAAGAGCTTATCGAAAAAAAACAGATATGCGATATGCTTCTTGTAATTGAAACGACTGAAGACGATATTAGTTTTGTTAAGTAGTACATTTGAATTCTCCTTACACTGAAGATACGACATTAACAATGTATAGAGTTTATGGGTTTGCTCAAAATGAGTTATTTCCCTTGGACCAGTTCATCAGCTCTCCTTCCCAAGTGGAACAGTAAGGAGAGTTCTGCCAATAAAATATCGTTATGAGGAGCTTGCAACTCTCAGCTTCGATCTGAGATTAAAATAAATAATGCCTAGTGTCACTTTCTAATGCATCCCCAGCATTTCGGAAAAAAATGCGTATAAAGCAGGGATTCCTAATGTATCGTGGATTTAAAAAAGGACAAAAAACAACACATTTCACAAAAGTATGCTTTTTGAGAAGAGCACGTGGAGGGAAATTGTCATCAATACTGCAACATGTATTAAAAACACAAAGCTGTTAAACAAATGTAATTTTTGTAGTATTTAAAAGGTTCACGTTGGGATTTTGTTGAGGCAAAATTTTAGAATAGAAATAGAAGCGACAAAACCCTTTCCACATTCATAAGAAATCTCTGCTAAAAGCAGAGTCGATTGTACAATAGGGACTGTATCAAGAGCATGTTTGTTTCAGCAGAATTACAGCTGTACGTTGTTGTTTGTAAACAAATCGAGGCTGAACCAGACAATCCAGTGAATGTCACCACGAGAATGTGTTCGCGAAAATGTGTATCCATGGTTAGAGTGTTATATAGTCATTATGTCACCGGAGTGAGTGAGTGAGTTTAGTTTTAGCAATATTCCAGCAATATCACGGCGGGGGACCCGAGAAATGGGCCTCACACACATTTATGGTCGGGAGCTCTGCTACATAATATGACCAAATCAGAGTAAGGCTTCATGCGAAAGGTGAGGTGAGGTGAAATTGGGTTTAACGTTTTGCTTGAGAATATTTCGCTCATGTGACGACGTGCATGCGTGTGTATGTGTATGTGCCGCTGCTTGTACTAGCCCAGACTGAAGCTGGTTTTATAGTGCTAGCCCACTGAGATACGATGCCGCAGTGAATCATGAATACCCCACTCAGACACATTATACTGACTCCGAGCCGACCAGTCCTTGTTGTACCCAATAATGCCGAGCGCCAGGCAGGGACCAACAAGTACCATATTTTAACGTCTTTTGGTATGACGCGGTCGGGGATCGAACCCGCGACCTTCCACTCTCCGAGCGGACGCTCTAACCACTACACCACGGAGGCGGTCTCCTTCATGCGAAAGGACAGAGACGGTTTGTGAACTATGTGAGAAATCCATCAGTGTCTATTTTGCTTGAATTGCTGCATTGCTGAAGTGACAATTCCCTGATAATCTGATTGTGAAGGCTCGCTGCCATTCTGCGAAACGTGAAACTGGAAACAAAATCGGCTTTATAAATCGTTTTCGACATGTTGTGTATTTGCAAGTATAAGAAAAACAGGCAGTTGTCTGCCATTTGAACTATTTTGATAAGTAAAGGTTAATTATTTCATGGTTTTCAGTTACAAGGAAATTGTTTATTTTCATTTAGCAAAAGGGGGCTCTTGCTTTCTAAAGAAGTGCAGTGAAGTGCTCCAGACAGTGTGTTCACAGGAACACGAGGGGATCGGTTGCAGATGGCTCCGATATCTGCTATATGCTCTCAGAAACACCAATTTAGTATAAATACTCCCAGTGCTTGAGTCTACCAAACCAACACACACATGTGAACCCAGATTTTGTGTCAAGAAACATGAAGGCTTTATACAGCTTCCCAGTAAAGTACCAAGGATATGAGGAGCTGTGTATAGAGTGAGTGATTGAGTGAGCATGACTTTAACCCGCTTTTGGCAACATTCCAGCAATATCGGGGGGTGGGGAGAGGGGATGGGTGTGAAATGGGGTTTAGCGTCGTACTAAAGAATATTTCACACATATGACAACGTGCATGCGCGTGTGTATGTGCGGCTGCTTGTACTAGCCCGGACTTAAGCTGATTATATAGTGCTAGCTCACTGAGATACTATATCGCAGTTAAGCTTGAATACCCCACTCAGACACATTATACTGACTCCAAACCGACGAGTCCTTGTTGTACCCATTAATGCCGAGCGCCAGGCAGGGACCAACAAGTACCATATTTTAACGTCTTTTGGTATGACGCGGCCGGGGATCGATCCCGCTACCTTCCGAACAGTGTTTAAAAATACAAAGGTTGTATCTTCCCAGTAAAGCACCAAGGATATGAGCAGATGTGTATGGAAACACAAAGGCTCTATATTCCCAGTAAAGCGCTAAGGATTTGAGCAGCTGTGTATAGAAACACAAATGCTCTATATTCCCAGTAAAGCACCAAGGATATGAGCAGATGTGTATAGAAACACAAAGGTTGTGTATTCCCAGTAAAGCACCAATGATATGAGCAGATGTATATAGAAACACAAAGGTTGTGTATTCCCAGTAAAGCACCAATGATATGAGCAGATGTATATAGAAACACAAAGGCTCTATATTCCCAGTAAAGCACCAATGATATGAGCAGATGTATATAGAAACACAAAGGCTCTATATTCCCAGTAAAGCACCAATGATATGAGCAGATGTGTATAGAAACACAAAGGTTCTATATTCCCAGTAAAGCACCAATGATATGAGCAGATGTGTATAGAAACACAAAGGTTGTATATTCCCAGTAAAGCACCAATGATATGAGCAGATGTGTATAGAAACACAAAGGTTGTGTATTCCCAGTAAAGCACCAATGATATGAGCAGATGTGTATAGAAACACAAAGGCTCTATATTCCCAGTAAAGCACCAATGATATGAGCAGATGTATATAGAAACACAAAGGCTCTATATTCCCAGTAAAGCACCAATGATATGAGCAGATGTGTATAGAAACACAAAGGTTGTGTATTCCCAGTAAAGCACCAAGGATATGAGCAGATGTGTATAGAAACACAAAGGTTGTGTATTCCCAGTAAAGCACCAATGATATGAGCAGATGTGTATAGAAATCTTAAGGTTCTTTTTACCCAGCGGTTGTGTCCAGTAGAACACCAAGGATATGGGCAGCTGTGTATAAAACACATAGGTTGTGTGTTCCCAGTAGGTCTGTCCAGTAAACTGACAAAGACCTCTTCTCCGTCTCCCTGTTTCCGCCGCTCGGCAGATATGTGTTTTCTTCATCCTTCCCATTCTAACAGTCCTTCCCAATGTGTTCGTGTCTACCGGCATTCTCATTACGCCACTAATCGAATTCTAAAGGACGTAGTATTTGCAGTGTTCCCAGATCCTCTTGAGTCTTCCCAGGACGAGGTCCACGGTGGTGACGAGAGGCTTGTATACTCCAATTGTATTGAAGGTGTGTGCACAACGGTCAGACTGCTAAATTATCCCTGCTGATGAGGATGCCCGCCACTTGCCCATCCGTTCGTCACGTGACTCTCACACACCGTTAACACTGACCACCAAATCGATGCCTGCTGGTCAACCTTGAACTCTGTTAGATCTGCTAAGTGTCTTTCTTCCCGGGTCATTAATGGCAGCTAATGTGTTCAGGGTTCAACTCCCTACTCGAGTACAATTTGTGAGGCTCTTTCTTGATCCTACTTGTGATATTGCTAAATGGTGTTAAACGCGGCGCAAAAACACTGTTGCTAATGTGTATTGGATTCGATTCCCTATATTCGATTACAGCGTGTAAAGTCCATCCCTGATCCAACTCTTGATGGTCTATGTTGTGTTAATCGCGGCGTAAAATTAAAATGACTAATCTTTCTCTACTGTCTCCCGTCCAATTTGGTTTTGCTGGAATATTTTGGGGAAAATAATTATATATTTCTACAGTTAATTATTTTTCGGACTCGTTTGTGTAAACTAACGTACAAAGAAAAGTACATATAGTTGTTGTTTCTATTTTTACAAATATCATCATCATCATCATCATCATCATCATCATCACTACCGCCACGACCACCAACATAGTCACAACCGTCGTTATAGTCATCGTTGCCATCATCATCATCATCATCATCATCATCATCATCATCATCATCATCATCATCATCATCATCATCATCACGGCCACCATCGTCGTCGTCATCATCATCATCATCATCATTATCATCACTACCGCCACGACCACCAACATAGTCACAACCGTCGTTATAGTCATCGTTGCCATCATCATCATCATCATCATCATCATCATCGCCACGACCACCATCGTCGTCATCATCATCATCATCAGCAGCAGCAGCAGCAGCATGTGGCAGCACACCATCAGTCTTAGCCCGCCTGCCCCAGCACCGCGCTATCTGTGGCGTTTATCAGTCCCATCACACACCCCTCCATTGCTCCAGATCGGCAGCAGGTGGCTGTACAACAAAGGCGGCTCAGGGAAACAGTCGGATCCCATGTAGAGGAATCTTTCCTATTGATCTGACATTAAATTAGGAACTAAGGCTGTACGTGTAAAGCTCTGGGAGAACATTAACTCATGTTTAGGACACTCAGTAGGATTTCTGTCTCTGTCCACACAACTCTCTTCTGTAAGCGCAGTTTGAAAGAGCTCAGCAATGTGTTCATCAGAGTATATCATTCTTGAGGTTAGTGCTGGTTGACTTTTGAGAATTTTGTTCAAATTATCTCCTCTAACGTTGGACATGTCGTTAACTAGTGCTGGTGTTTGTTAAAGAGATTAGGTATTTTAGTTATTTAGTGAAATGATGACGATGTGTGTAGTTTATGTACAATACGACGTAAAGATATATTCATACAATCGTCCTGGTTTATTATAAGTTGTTCACTGGTCATGAGGGGGACATGGGTTGATGTACCCTCCATGTTTGTTTCTGTTCCCTGAGCCCGAAGG